CTGGTCAACACGGTGAAACCCCGTCTCTACTAAAAATACAAAAAATTAGCTGGGCATGATGGTGCGTGCCTGTAATCCCAGCTACTCAGGAGGCTGAGACAGGAGAATTGCCTGAACCCAGGAGGCGGAGGTTGCCATGAGCTGAGATCGTGCCATTGCACTCCAGCCTGGGTAACAAGAGCGAAACTCCGTCTCAAAAAAAAAAAAGGCATTTCTAACTCTGTTTACTGAAAAGGCTTAGAAGCAGTGACAGTAGTATATCATTTAGTATCCCCAGTGTCCAAGTTGTGGTCTTAACTACTTCCCGCTAAAAGGAACCAGTGCTTTTTAGAGAAATGGCTGATTATAGGTCTCGGGCAGGAAATAAACAAGATACACCTAGGACATGGTGTGCAGAAAACCGAGGAACTTAACAAAAGCTAATGGAGTTGTGTCAGGAGGACTCGGGAGCCGATTTGAAAGGCTTCCCAGGGCTTGAGATAGGAAAATTTGAGCATCAAAAAACCATAAGCTGGGCATGGTGGTGCCTGTGTATTCCCAGCTACTCAGGAAGCTGAGACAGGAGGATCGCTTGAGTACAATAAATTGAAAACATCAAGTACATAAAAATTCATGGATTTGAAATAATTTTAAAAGAAAGTGGAACTCATTGGTCATGATTTTGCGTTGTTAGGGGAGTAACTCAATTCTTTAAAAATTAATGAAGGCAAAAAAATAAGCATTTTCCCCACCTTTCCTGTATTAACTGTTAACTCCAAGAAACCAGAGGGTTAACAAGAGAGAAGGCTTCTTTATAGAAGAATTCCAATTAATAAATGCAGAAAGGAATACTAGAATTAGAAAATCGCTGTTTTGCCACCCCTAATGAGGACACAGATCACGGCAGCCACCGCTAGGTGAGAGGATGGTGGGAAAATATAAGAGGAATCTGGCTACCTGTGATCTGAATCTAACAGTCTTGGCATTGCTACACCTATGGCAGCCAGATGTGATATGCCTCATGATACTGTGCAAGGGGAAGTACGCAGCCACATTCATGAACTGTTTTTGCCTAAAAATGTGAACCCGACTCCAAGCAAGCCTAAAGTGAATCTCTCAGTTTACCAGAGATAAAGGGGTCAGAGGAACAAGTTAGAGACACCTTGAAGTTACAATCAGCCAAATCCAAAATGTGGGACATTTTATAGGTTAGATGACTTGGTTGCTCTAGTAGATTAATGGCATGAAGCAGGAAAAAAGCAGGAAGGAAAATTGTCATATAAAACAGATATTCAAGTGACCTAATAAAAAAAATAAAGACCACTCTGGCTGTTGTGTTGGGAATGCATCAGAGCCAGACATGGTGGTGCGTGTCTGTAATCCCAGCACTTTGGGAAGCCGAGGCAGGCAGACAGCTTGAGCCCAGGAGTTTGAGACTAGCCTGAGCAACATAAGGAAACTCTGTCTCTACAAAAAATTAGCCCGGAATGGTGGCACATGTCTCTAGTCCCAGCTATTCAGGATGCTAAGTAGGAGGACCACCTGAGCCGAAGAAGTTGAGGTTGTAGTGAGCTATGATTGTGTCACTGCCCTCTAGCCTGGGCAATGGAGCAAGACCCTTTCTCAAGGAAAAAAAGTCAGCTGGGGATGGTGGTGCATGTCTGTGGTCCCAGCTGCTCAGGAGGCTGAGGCAGGAAGATTGCTTAAGCCTAGGAGGTAGAGGCTGCAGTGAGATATATTCTTGTCACTGCACTTCAGTCTGGAAGTCTGGGTGACAGAGTGAGACCCTGTCTCTAAATAAATAGATAATACACCAGAGATGATCAAGGATACAAACAGGGAGAACAGGTAAGAAGCTATTACAAAATTCCGGATGAGATTTTGCACAAAGATGATAAGGAAGATGGCGGCTGGATTCTGAATGTCTTTTAAAGATGTAACTGACATCTTTAAAAGATGGATGGATGAGATGTGAAGTTTTAGAGTCCAAGATGACTTCCAAGTTTTGGCCTAAGCAATTGGAACAATGGAGTGCCATTTACTGAAATAGGAAAGACTGCAAGAGAAGCAGGTTTCTGGGAAAAGATTAGGAGGAGCCCAATTCTGGACTCTGTATCTTCAGTCTGGTAGGCCTTTTGAATATCCACAAGAAGGTATGTTAAGAAGGCAGTGGGATATATGTATGGAATATTGAGGATGGGGCCAGGAGAGGATGTAAATTTGGGAAATTCAGAAGTTCTCAGTAGGCAGACAGTCTGTAAAGCTACTAGTGGGCGGGGTGCAGTGGCTCATTCCTGTAATCCTAGCACTTTGGGAGGCTGAGGCAGGAGGGTTGCTTGAGCCCAGGAGTTCAAGACCAGCCTGCACAACATAGACCCCATATTAAAAAAAAAAAAAAAAAAAGCTACTAGAGTAGGTGAAAGAATAAAGGGAGGGAGTGTAGCTAGAGGAGAGGTTCCAGGGCTGAGCCTGTTCACAGAGGTGGGAGTCAGCAGCAGGAACAAGACAGGGACGTGGACGCATCCCAAAAGCCAGGTGAAGGAAGGAGGAGGGCTTTGTCAGACACTTGTGGCAGGTTGAAGGAGGTAAGGACTGAAATCTGACCTTTGGATTGTGCAGCATGGAGATTGCTGATGCATTTGATAAGAGCAGCTTCATTCTGTAAGCCCATGGGAGTGGGCTCAAGAAAGCCTGCCTGAGAGACAGAGTTGAGAAAATAGCTCTTTTGAGGAGCTTCAAACAGAACCAAAGTGTTAGCTGGATGGGACAATGTGGTCTAGGGTCTAGAGACGGGTGTTAATTTGTTTGAGAATCACTGGTTTATTCCTTTCTGAAAGTATTTTTGTGATGGCAATCTTTCCCCTGCAGCTTTTTATTTTTGACAAATACCAAATCATAGAAAAGTTAGATATTGTATGTGTTTCACCTATTTTAACCCATTGTGGTTTTTTGTGGGTTTTTTTTTTTTTTTTGAGACAGTCTTACTGTGTCACCTAGGCTGGAGTGCAGTGGTGTGATTACTGCTCACTGCAGCCTTGACCTTCCAGGCTCAAGCAATCCTCCCACCTCGGCTTCCCAAGTAGCTGGGACTACAGGCACACACCACCACACCTGGCTATTTTTTGGGGGGGTTGGGGGTGGTAGAGACAGAGTTTCACCATGTTGCCCAGGCTGGTCTCAAACTTCTGAGCTCAAGCATCCTCCTGCCAAAGTGCTGAGATTATAGGCGTGAGCCACCCTGCCCCGCCAACTCATTGTTAATGTCTTGCCACATTTGCTTTCTCTAAGTTTATAAATACATTTATGATGTCTGAGCTGCTCTAAAATTGTAGACATAAAGTTTATGTTAAAGCTTGTATCTCCTAAAAAAGACGGTTTCCCACATAACCATAATATCGTTATTATATTTTAAGAAATTTAATATTGATATGATACTATGTAACATGCAGTTCAAATTAAAACTGTATATTGTTGCTATTTTCATTTCCACAATCTAATCAAAGGTCACCCATTGCTTTTAGTTGTTACATCCTGAAGAGATTTTTTTTTAGGATGGGAAAAATAATAGCACATTTATATGCTGATTTCAAAAGTCTATAGAGAGCGAAAACTGATGATGCATAAGCGGGAAAATGCCAAGGTGGTAAAGTTGGAGGATGAGATGTAGCCACAGCGGGACAGGGTTGGGAAGGCACTGACTTTGGTGGGAGCATGGACGGTTTATCCAGAGTAGCAGGAAAGAGAGAAGGCAGAGCCTGTTGGCACGTGGCTGGTTAGACATGGTAGACCTTGAGGAAATTTTCTTTTGATTGCTTTTATTTTCTTAGTGAAGTAGGAATGATGGTATTCAGTTGAGAGGAAGGAAAGGAGAAATGTGACAGGTTGAAGAAAAGATATGAAGTCTTTGTCTAAGTCATCTTCATATTAGGACATGCATTATTACTGATCTAAGGGTGTGCATTTATAGACCCCTGTAGGCCTTTACAGACCCCTGTAGACCCGTAGCTTCTATAGATAGGTATCCCTGGAATTAATGTGCCTGAAAAAGGGCCTCTTTACAGTAGACTTCCTCTGACTTTGGAAGAAAAGGCAGACCCTCACCTATGCAAAATATGAATTATTTATATCACCCCTCAGATTGTTTCTGCTCCTTGTCTGTTTGGCATTTTTTGTTTGTTTTGTTTTGTTTTGTTTTGTTTTTGAGATGGAGTCTCGCCCTGTTGCCCAGGCTGGGGTGCAATGGCAGGATCTCGGCTCACTGCAGCCTCTGCCTCCCGGATTCAAGTGATCCTTTTGCCTCAGCCTCCCAAGTAGCTGGGATTACAGGCGTGTACCACCACTCCCGGATAATTTTTTTCTATCACCATGTTGGTCAGGCTGGTCTAAAACTCCTGACCTCCTGATCCACCCACCTTAGCCTCCCAAAGTGCTGGGATTACAGGCGTGAGTCACTGCACTTGACCTTTGTTTTGTTTTGTTTTGTTTTGAGATTGAGGTTTGTTCTTGTTGCCCAGGCTGGCATAATCTTGGCTGACTGCAACCTTCACCTCCCAGGTTCAAGTAATTGTCCCATCTCAGCCTCCCGAGTAGCTGGGATTACAGGCACCTGCCACTATGCCCAGCTGATTTTTTGTATTTTTAGTAGAGATGGGGCTTCACCATGTTGGGCAGGCTGGTCTTGAACTCCTGACCTCAGGTGATCCACCTACCTTGGCCTTCCAAAGTGCTGGGATTAGAGATGTGAGCCACTATGCCCGGAATCTGTTTGTTGATTTTCTTCTTTTCTTCTTCTTTTTTTTTAATTCAGAAATAAATTACTTTCTGAAAGTAGTATGTCCCTCTTAAAGACCCTCTTACCCCTCAATCCCATAGCTTATGATCCTGCTAGGGGATTGCCACTTTCTTGTTTCAGTTTTAGCCTTTCCAGTGTGTGTGTCTGTTTATCTTTTTTCCATCTTTGCCTGTACTTCACCCTGTTTTCCTGCTTCTTCTTTGACTGTTGCCTCTTCTCTGGTTTTCAGGCTTGGTCACAATGGTGCAAGCAGCTCCTGTATGTCCAGAAGGAGAAACAGAAGGTTGCCTCTGCAGTGAAACACCATCAGCACTGGCAAAAGTGGAGGTTTCTAAAGGCCTGGCTTGAATACCTGCAAGTCCGCAGAGTAAAGAGACAGCAGAATGGTGAGTAGGAAGCCCGAGACTGTAGAGATGCAGAGTCTGGTCACAGTTTCCACTTTCCTGGTGCCAGTGGTACTGTACTGAGAAGTAATATAATGGTGTTACTCCAGAAATGTTGGTAAAAGGAGATTGAGGAGGAAAATACATCATCCTTGAATCACATTTATTTCCCTTTGGCCTTTTATTTATATCTATTATAGATAGATAGGCTTTTTTTTGTTTTGTTTGTTTTGCTTTTTTGAGATAGAGTTTTGCTGTTGTTGCCCAGGCTGGAATGCAGTGGCACGATCTCAGCTCACTGCAGCCTCTGCCTCCCTGGTTCAAGCGCTTCTTCTGCCTCAGCCTCCTGAGTAGCTGGGATTACAGGTGCCCGCCACCTCGCCCAGCTAATTTTTGTATTTTTAGTAGAGGTGGGGTTTCATCACCTTGGCCAGGCTGGTCTCAAACTCTTGACCTCAGGTGATCTACCTGCCTTGGCCTTCCATAGTGCTGGGATTACAGGTATGAGCCACTGCACCTGGCCCTTTTATATATATATATATATATATATATATATTTTTTTTTTTAATCTAAATAGGGTTTTAGTTATGCTATAATTATTGTGATTATTTTAATTAATGTGTTGATAACCTATGGTTTTGTATCTTGCTTTTTTGACACAGTTAACACTTTTCCACATCTTAAGTATTTGTCATAAATGTTATTTTTTAACAACTGTTCATATTTTATAGGATGGCTTACCTTAATATACTTAACCATTCTCCTATTTTTTTTTTTTCTTGAGAATGAGTTTCACTCTTCCTGCCCAGCCTGGAGTGCAATGGGATGATCTCAGCTCACTGCAACCTCCGCCTCTCAGGTTCAAGTGGTTTTCCTGCCTCAGCCTCCCAAGTATCTGGGATTACAATTGTGCACCCCTATGCCCAGGTAATTTTGTATTTTTAGTAGAGATGGGGTTTCTCCATGTTGGTCAGGCTGGTCTCAAACTCCCGACTTCAGGTGATCCACCTACCTTGGCCTCCCAAAGTACTGGGATTATAGGTGTGAGCCACCATGCCTGGCCGCCATTCTCCTATTAATAGATATTTGGATAGTTTCTTTTTGTCTCCAACTATTTGAATGCATGTGATTTTGATGTTAAGGTTTTTGGATACTGTTTATATGGTTTCATTTCCCAACTAGATTCAGAAAAAAATAATAAACATGAACATTGGTACACTTTTTAACTTAAGTTTATTGAGTTTATGCAGAAGTGAGTCAAGCACTATGCTAGACACTGGGTTAAGGGTCTCTGGCATTCACCCAAACCTCCCTGCATGAATCTCTTAGGCTGCCAACACTGTCTCTTGGGAGAGTCTGAATGTGTTTATTTGACGATAGTGATGCCACACCAATAGTCCAGTTGCCCAGTCTTAGAATGTGAAAGCATTAAGCTGTTTACTATGATAAGCTATAGACTAATGCCTGCCTCCAATGACAGCATTCAAATTCCAGGTCTGATTCCCATCGCATTCCCAGTTCCCAGGTCATCAGACCATTATCTTGACTAGCATTAAAAGGAAAGGAAGCTGGCAGCCAGGAGCAGCTTGGCTGAAAGCCCAAAAAAAGCTTACCCCAGCATGGCAACTGAATTTTATGTCATTGACTCAGTCTCTTAGTCCTATCTAGGAGATATTTGTATAGAAGCAAAAGTGAAACAGAGTCCTCTTTGAAAGCAACAGTTACCATTCCTGTTCATTAGTATCTAACCAGAAGCCCCAGCCCTGTGATGTAACTGATTATATAGCAACCTTCTCCCTAAAATCAGAGACCTTTTCTCTTTCCTTGGAGACAGGAGATGTTACTCAGGGATTCCTAATGACCTTTAAAGGTTTAAAAAACTTTTGCATGGTGGCTCACGCCTGTAATCCAAGCACTTTGGAGGCCAAGGCGGGCGGATCACCTGAGGTCAGGAGTTCAAGACCAGCCTGACCAACATGGTGAAACCCTGTCTTTAAAAAAATAAACAAATAAACTTTTATTTTAGGGTGTGTGTGTGTGTTTGTACAGCCTTGAATCCCTGCTCTCTGCCAAAAGTGGGGTTCAGCTTGTCTTACAGATTCTTCCACTGCGCATGGTGGCTCACACCTGTAATCCCAGCACTTGGGGAGGCCGAGGTGGGCAGGTCACCTGAGGTCGGGAAGTTCGAGACCAGCCTAACCAACATGGAGAAACCCCGTCTCTACTAAAAATACAGGAATTAGCCGGGTGTAGTGGTATGTGCTTGTAATCTCAGCTACTTGGGAGGCTGAGGCAGGAGAATCACTTGAACTCAGAAGACGGAGGTTGCAGTGAGCCGAGATTGTGCCTCTGCACTCCAGCCTTGCGCCTGGCGACGGAGCAAGACTCTGCCTCAAAAAAAAAATAAAAAGATGCTTTCAGCTCATCTAACCTTGGGGGAGAAGCACTTTAAGTCATTTCTCTGTTGCAGAGATGGCTGAACGATTCCATCATGTCACTATGCTCCAGATACATTTCTGTGACTGGCAGCAGGCCTGGGAGCGGAGGGAGAGCTTGCACGCCCACCAGGCACAGGTGGCGAAACTGGCCAGGAAGATGGCTTTGCGGCGCACCTTTACTCACTGGAAACACTGTATCCTTTGATATACCCAGGTTGTTCATTGCCTCAGCCAGGACAGCAAGAGCTTAGGAGCATGTGAAACAAAAGTCATGAGATACATGGGAAACAGTTGCCCAACAGTTTAAGACAGCCTTATCTCTGTTGACAGTCTTAAAATATTTTGTTTAATTGGGACTGTATATACAAAAGAGTACTTATATATTTATAGTTAAAAAAATAAAATGGGCAAAGTGCAGTGGCTCATGCCTATAATCCCAGCACTTGGGGAGGCCAAGGCAGGAGAATCACCTGAGGTCAGGAATTCGAGACCAGCCTGACCAACATGGAGAAATCCCATCTCTACTGAAAATACAAAATTAGCCAGGCATGGTGGTGCATGCCTGTAATCCCAGCTACTTGGGAGGCTGAGGCAGGAGAGTCACTTAAACCCAGTGGGCAGAGGTTGCAGTGAGCTGAGATTGTGCCATTGCACTCTAGCCTAGGCAAGAAGAGCAAAACTCCATTTCAAAAATAATAATAAAATGGGCCAGGTGCAGTGGCTTACGCCTATAATCCCAGCACTTTGGGAGGCCAAGACGGGTGGATCACGAGGTCAAGAGATCGAGACCATCCTGGTCAACATGGAAACCCCGTCTCTACTAAAAATAGAAAAATTAGCTGGGCATGGTGACAGACGCCTGTAGTCCCAGCTACTCGGGCGGCTGAGGCAGAAGAATTGCTTGAACCCAGGAGGTGGAGGTTGTGGTGAGCCGAGATTGCACCATTGCACTCCATCCTGGGTAACTACAGCAAAACTCCGTCACCAAATAAATAAATAAATAAAAATAATAAAATGAACAACTATATATCTGTCACCCAACTTTCAAAATAGAACCTTGCTAGCACACCTATCTGCTCCTCCCTGATTGCATTCTTTTTCTTTTCCCTCAGAGGTAATCTCACTTTCCTGATTAAAATTTTTGGTGTTGTAATTTAAGTGCATTTTTCTACCCACTAGGTGGTGAAAATAGCCACCACTGTCTTTTTCTTGATGATACCATCACCGTGATCATAGCTTCCATTTATTTCGCTTTTACTGTGTAGCAGAACGTTATGCATCATCCTCTTCATCCTCATAGCAACCCTGTGGAGTAGGTGCCACTATTGCCATTTTACAGGTGAGGAAACAGATTCAGGGGATTGAGTGTATTTTAAAGTCACAAGTCATTGGCAGCGTCAGGATTTTCAAAACCCAGGCCTTTAACTCCTGTGTACATATTCTTCTTCCTTTTTTTGAGACAGAGTTTCTGTCGCCCAGACTGGATTGCAGTGGTGCCATCACAGCTCGCTGCAACCTCTGCCTCCTGAGTTAAAGCAACTTTCCTGCCTCAGCCAGGCTCCCAAGTAGCTGGGATTACAGGCGCCTGCCACCACACCCAGCTAATTTTTGTACTTTTAAGTAGAGACGGGGTTTCACCATGTTGGCCAGGCTGGTCTCGAACTCCTGACCTCAATTTATCCACCTGCTTCAGCCTCTCAAAGTACTGGGATTACAGTCATGAGCTACCGTGTCTGGCCCTGTGTACATTTTCTTAATCACTACTCCTACCATACTGTGTGCCCAAGTGTGAGAATTTGGACTGCCTAAGACGTTCATCCACACATTTTATTTGTTCATCAAAGCTTTGCTTTGTGTAAACTCCTGCTTAATTTCTGGGATATGAGGGAGCTCAGACTAATGGTAGTTCATTGTCTAGTGGAGAAAATAGACATGAAAATGGATCTTTAAATATGGCATGATAACTGCTATCATAATGATTTGTTTCAAGTCCTGTGAGAGCCACTGTGGAGATTCAGCCAAGGAGGTCATATTTGTTCTGAATTTAAGTCATAAGAGATGAGAAGTTGGGAAGGTTGATGTCTTAGGGGAAGACTGCAGAAGGTTGGAAATGACATTTCAGTGGAGTGAATGATGTTTACCCAGGTTTAGAGGTTAGGAAAAGCATTCAAGAATCCAGTGAGCTGTAGAGGTGTGGATGGCAGGAAGGTAGATGAGATGCAGGAATGTCTGGAGGTTTTTTAACTTTTTAAAATTTAGAGACGGGGTCACATGTTGCCCAGGCTGGTCTGCAGTGGCTTTCATAGGTGCACTGGTAGTTTACTGCAGTCTTGAACTCCTGGGCTTAAGCAGTCCTCCCTATTCAGCCTCCCAAGTTATGTGGAACTACAGGCACACACCATCACACCCGACATTAGAGGTTTTTAAGAAGAGAAGGGGTAGTGGCTTCTTTTCTTTTTTTTTAAATCACCCCCTCCCCCCACCCCTTCTCTTCTTAAAAACCTCTAATGCCGGGTGACTTACACCTGTAAGCCAAGTGCTTTGGGAGGATCGCTTGAACCCAGGAGTTTTAGGCTACCGTGAACTATGATGGCACCCTTGCCCTCCAGCCGGGGTTGATAGAGCAGGACCCAGTCTCTTAGAAAAGAAAGAAAGGAAATGCAGTCAGATTTGTGCTTTGGAAAGGGATAATTCTGGATTAGCAGAGAGAGGCTAGCCCTGGTAGGAGACCCGTTATGGGAGGAGGCTCACTTACCAATCTATGTAAAGGGATGAGTCAGATGAACTGCAGGGTGTTGGGGGTGGGAACAGAAGAGCAGGAGGGGATGGAGAGAGCTTCCAAGAGATTTAGGAAGAGAGCAGATGGACTTGGCGTCCTGATTAAATGAGAGTGGGAGGAGAAAAGGTTCAAAAATAACTCCAGGGTTTTTAGCTCAACTGACTAGATTGTGATGCCAAAACAGAGAGTACAGAAAAAGAAGCAGATTCTGTTTTTGATGTGGTGATTTCTAAATGTTTACTGAAACGGGTAGCAGTTTATCTCAGGTATTTTTTGCCTCTCATCTCATGGGCATTCAAGGGAAGGAATGCGAGACCAGATGTTTGATCAGTAATTGACACGGTTTCCCTTTGCTCACTGCTGCCCTGGGTCATCAGGAGTAGACAGAGGTGGACCTCAGCCCACCTGGATACATCTGTTATCCCTGACAGCCACAGCCCTCCAGGTGGGTCACTGGAAATGCCCTGTGTGGGGCCAGAACCTTGTTGAGACTGGAGGCCTTAACTTCTTGAAAGACATGCTGCTGTGTGCAGAAGAAGCTGCCCAGTGTGAGATGGCAGAAGAACACCACAGGCATAGGCAGCTGGTAAGAACCCTGCAGCCTGGCATGGCTCTGCTCGGCAGCCTTTCGTGGGTATCCACTCTTGGGGGACCCTGACTCCTATCACCTTCATTAAATGCAGCTAGCTATGGGTGAGTTTTAGTTATGAAGCCCCCCTTTCATTGTAGGCGTCCCTGTTTTCATTTTGGATTTACAGATGGTAATGGTGTGGGGTCAGAGGGGTTTGGAGCTGTAAAGGAACCTCAGAGATTATTTATTCCTGAGCTTTTTTTTTTTAACATGGGAAAACCCCTTCTGAGTGGTGGAAGCCTCATCTTTAAATAGGTCAAAGTAGCCATGCTGTGGTTGAAGCATGTCAGGGAGTTAGTCCCTGTTCCACCTGCTACTCTTCCCTTCTGCTGCTACACAAGGTGGTCTTCAAATGTTTTCAGGAACCTGTGGGGTTCCACAAAGCACAGTACAAAAACCCTTAATCCAGCCTGATATCTTCACTTCTGTCTCAGAAAACTGAAGTCTAAGGCAATGGAGGAATATGGGCAAATCACCTTTGCCTAGCCAATCTGTGAGGCATTATTTTTTAGAGATGGGGTCTCACTATGTTGCCCAGGCTAGATTCAACTTTTGGACTTAAGCAGTCCTCCCACCTCAGCCTCCTGAGTAGCTGGAATCTATAGGCATGTGCCACCATGCCCGGTGTTAAGGCATCATTATTATCATCATTATTATTATTAGAGATAGAGTCTCCTCTGTCACCCAGGCTGGAGTGCAGTGGTACAATTATAGCTTGCTGCAGTCTTTTTTTTTTTTTTTGAGGCGGAGTTTCACTCTTGTTACCCAGGCTGGAGTGCAATGGCACGATCTCGGCTCACCGCAACCTCCGCCTCCTGGGTTCAGGCAATTCTCCTGCCTTAGCCTCCTGAGTAGCTGGGATTATAGGCACACGCCACCATGCCCAGCTAATTTTTTGTATTTTTAGTAGAGACGGGGTTTCACCATGTTGACCAGGATGGTCTCGATCTCTTGACCTTGTGATCCACCCGCCTCGGCCTCCCAAAGTGCTGGGATTACAGGCTTGAGCCACCGTGCCCAGCTGCTGCAGTCTTGAACTCCTGGACTCAAGTGATCCTTCCACCTCAACCTCCCAAGTAGCTGGGACCACAGGCACATGCCACCATGCCCAAATGAATTTTGTAGTTTTTTATACAGTGTCTCCCTATGTTGGCCAGGCTGGTCTTGAACTCCTGTGCTCAAGCAGTTCTCCTGCCTCAGCCTCCTAAAGTGTTGGGATTACAGGCGTGAGCCACTGCACCAGGCCTTTTAGGCATTATTGATGGAGCTGGATTCAGGTCCTGATATCCTGCCCCAATCCCACCCCCGCTTTCACTAAAGATTCCTTCCTCTACTTTAGCAACATTGCATTTATAATTGTATAAACGTACACACTGAGCCCACATGGTAAAAAACAAAAACACAAAAACGATCACAGATACAAAGTCGGTCTGTTTTTTTCTGAGAGGCAAAAGTTGATGTTGACTTTGGTCTGTAGAACTGTCATGTGGGTCATGGGGTTCTCTCCTGGTATAGGTGTGTTCTTGTACAGTATAGAGTGGACAGCAGGAAGGGTTCAGCAAACATTTATTAAGTGCCTGCTGTGTTGGATGGCTTGTGTTAGGCTCCCGGTTGAATCTCAAAGCAGAGAAACACACTCGGAAATGGAACAGCTATGAGAAGCTGGAACCAACCTTTTCTCCGCAGATTTGAGGCACTGTCTGTGTTCTTCTGCTCTTAGATAACAGATTATACTGATTCTAGTCCTTATAATTGGTTATGTCCTTTCTTTCCACAGTATTTTTGCTTTAGATCCCTAAAAGATAATGTGGCCCACACCCATCTCCAGCAAATAAGAAGGAATCTTGCTTACCAGCAGCATGGTGTCACGGTGAGGGTTTCTTCTGTATCAAGGGACCTCTTCTGATAGCCATTCTTTTTTTCTCTCTTTTTTTTTTTTCAGTCTTGCCAAATTAAAACTCTTTTTTGCATTTTTTTTTTAAGAAGGAGTTTCGCTCTTTTTTTTTTTTTTTTTTTTTTTTTTTTTTTTTGAGACAGAGTTTCGCTCTTGTTACCCAGGCTGGAGTGCAATGACGCGATCTCGGCTCACCGCAACCTCCGCCCCCTGGGTTCAGGCAGTTCTCCTGCCTCAGCCTCCTGAGTAGCTGGGATTACAGGCACGCGCCACCATGCCCAGCTAATTTTTTGTATTTTTAGTAGAGACAGGGTTTCACCACGTCGATCCAGGATGGTCTTGATCTCTTGACCTTGTGATTCGCCCTCCTCGGCCTCCCAAAGTGCTGGGATTACAGGCTTGAGCCACCGTGCCCTGGCGAGTTTCGCTCTTATTACCCAGGCTGGAGTGCAATGGCACGATCTCGGCTCACCGCAACCTCCGCCTCTTGGGTTCAGGCAGTTCTCCTGCCTCAGCCTCCTGAGTAGCTGGGATTACAGGCACGTGCCACCATGCCCAGCTAATTTTTTGTATTTTTAGTAGAGATGGGGTTTCACCATGTTGACCAGGACGGTCTCGATCTCTTGACCTCGTGATCCACCTGCCTCAGCCTCCCAAAGTGCTGCGATTACAGACTTGAGCCACCACGCCCAACCTAGCAAAACTCTTTTTTAAAAAAGAATTTTTTCTGGTCCGGGTCGCAGAAGCAGGATGACGAAGGGAACGTCATCGTTTGGGAAGCGTCGTAATAAGATGCACACGTTGTGCCGCCGCTGTGGCTCTAAGGCCTACCACCTTCAGAAGTCGACCTGCGGCAAATGTGGCTACCCCGCCAAGCGCAAGAGAAAGTATAACTGGAGTGCCAAGGCTAAAAGACGAAATACCACCGGCACTGGTCGAATGAGGCATCTAAAAATTGTATATCGCAGATTCAGGCATGGATTCCGTGAAGGAACAACACCTAAACCCAAGAGGGCAGCTGTTGCAGCATCCAGTTCATCTTAAGAATTTCACCGATTAGTCACACAATAAATGTTCTGGTTTTAAAAATACAAAAAAAAAAAAAAAAGAATTTTGTGCTTTAAAATTTGTTCAGACTGTCCTAAAACCTTAGTTTGCATTTACTTTTTTTTTTTTTTTTTTTTTTGAGACGGAGTTTTACTCTTGTTACCCAGGCTGGAGTACAATGGCGCGATCTCGGCTCACTGCAACCTCCGCCTCCTGGGTTCAGGCAATTCTCCTGCCTCAGCTTCCTGAGTAGCTGGGATTACAGGCACGCGTCACCATACGCAGCTAATTTTTTAGATTTTTAGTAGAGACGGGGTTTCACCTTGTTGACCAAGATGGTCTCCATCTCTTGACCTCGTGATCCACCTGCCTCGGCCTCCCAAAGTACTAGGGATTATAGGCGTGAGCCACCGCGCCCAGCTCAATGTTTTATATTCTTGATTCATCTGATTGTTTCCTTTTGATATCATTTAATTTTTATTTAGTCTGCGTGATTCCTATAATCATTAAATCTAAGGGCTTGTTTAGATTGAAGTTAAACATTTATGCAAGACTACTTCATAGGTGGGAATATGCAATAAAAGCAGTTTTAGTTTCTAAAATGACTTTCTAAAATGTCAGTCTTCTGTGAGACCCAGATTAGGAATGGCTTCTTCATCTAGATTTCCACAGATGAAGAACCATGTTTTTGCCTTTTATGTTGGCCCAGAATAGCTCTGTAGTTCAGCCATCGTTAATTTGTATGCCCATTGTATGTTGGCTGCTCCAAACTGAGGTAACTCTTGCTTTAGGGGAGCTCAGTCTGTTGGAGTAAGATTCACTGCCTTACCTTTCATCTCAGTAAATTTCCAGTTTTCTTCCTACCTTGCTTTAGCTGCTGCACAGGTTCTGGAATCTCTGGTGGTCTCAGATTGAGCAGAAAAAGGAAAGAGAGCAGCTCCCGTTACTGCATGCTGCCTGGGACCACTACAGGTGGGGACTCTGGCTTCATCCCTGGCTCTCAGGGACTCTGTGCCTCTGACTTACTGTTTTCCAGGAGTGATCACTTGCCCCTCTATAGGTTAGTGTGGCAGATTCAGAAAGGCCTGCTGGGGTGGAGGTCCTCCCATAAACCATTTGTTCCTGAATTTGTTTTTTTTTCTGATCAGAAAGATCAGAAAAAAAATTTTTTTTTCTCCCAGAAAAAGATTTTTTCTGGGAGAAAGAATGAGAATATTTGCATTGGTTCTTGGCCACCATAGTCTGAAGTATGTGCCTGGTCGCTCATTGCCTCAGTCCTGCAGGCATCAAGATGTTCACAAGTTAGAATTCATGCATTGCTAGTATTAAAGAACTCATGCATTGCTAGTGTTAAAGAGAAGAGTCGGGTATTTGTGGCTCAGTCTTAATGGGTGCAAGGAGTGTCCGCAATATTTTAGAACTAGTCATTCAGTTAAATAAATAAAAACACTACATTTCTGTGAGGGAATCTCAGAATATATAGGGTGAAAAGTATAAAGGGAAAAATAAAAGTTGCCTGGCCTGGCCCCCTCCCTGCAAGTAAGAGTAACATCTTAGTCCTCAGAGGGAAGATACTATATATGAACTTTTTTGCTGCTAGAAATGTTCAATGTGTCCTCTTCTTTGCCCTCCCCTTCCTTCCTCTCCCCATAGTATAATCAACTTAATTTGCATAGTTTAGGTCCAATTTTGAAGCATTTTTTTTTGAGATGGAGTTTTGCTTCTGTTGCCCAGGCTGGAGTACAATGGTGTAATCTCGGCTCACTGCAACCTCTGCCTCCCAGGTTCAAGCGATTCTCCTGCCTCAGCCCCCAGAATAGCTGGGATTACAGGTGTGCACCACCATGCCCTGCTAATTTTTGCATTTTTAGTAGAGACAGCGTTTCACCATGTTGGCCAGGCTGGTCTAAAACTCTTGGCTTCAGGTGATCCACCTGCCTCGGCCTCCCAAAGTGCTTGGATTATAGGCATGAAGCCACCATGCCTGGCCTTGAAGCATTTTTTAGTGAGTTAGTGAGAATCCCAATAATTAACCGACTCATGTAGAGTTATCAAGGCATATTATTCTAAACCCTGGTTTACAAAACTAAGTGTGAGAGGGAACATGTCACAGACCCCCATAGATTGACCATGAAACTAGGAAGTTCAGGATATCTAGGGGATTCCATACATATTTCCTAAGTTCCAGAGATACTGTGCTTTTGATGGTCTAATTAGGTTTTACAAGAAAGTTGTCAAAATTTTTAGGCAATCCACAGTCCAGAATCAGAAGTTGACAAATTTTATGTTAGATACCAGGGTCTTTTTTTTTTTTTTTTGGAGACGGAGTTTCAGTCTTGTTGCCCGGTCTGGTATGCAATGGTGCGATCTCGGCTCACTGCAGTCTCCACCTTCCGGGTTCAAGCAATTATTCTGCCTCAGCCTCCTGAGTAGCTGGGATTACAGGCATGCACCACCATGCCTGGCTAATTTTTGTAGTTTTTTAGTAGAGACAGGGTTTCACCATGTTGGCCAGGCTGGTCTCGCTCTCCTGACCTTAAGATCCACATGCCTTGGCCTCCCAGAGTGTTGGGATTACAGGCATGAGCCGCGTGCCTGGCCAGATACCAGGTTCTTATTGCTGTCTCTCCTAAAATGAAACTGTTAAGCCCATAGGTTGCCTTTAACTCACAGGAAGTAACTGTACCCTTATTTACCTGCCTTAAAACAAGGTTTTAAGAACCTGAAACCTGAAGGTGTGGATGGGCAGTAAGTACCTTGGTGTTCTTCATTTTGTTTCAGGATAGCACTGCTGTGCAAGTGTGTCAAATTGTGGCTACAGTATACTCAGAAGAGGCGGGACAAGCAGGTATGGAGTACTTTTTAGTAGATAGCTCTACTGGCTTATATTCTTAGACCCATTTGCTTTGGAAATATTCTTGGAGAAGACCTATGTCAAGAAGTGTTGTTGTTCTGCTTTGGAAGAGAGGGGATTGAAAAAGCTCAGGCATTTCCTCCAGTTCCCACCTCTGATACCAGAAAGTCTGCATAGTTCCCATTTCTTTTTTTTTTTTAGACGGAGTTTCGCTCTTGTTACCGAGGCTGGAGTGCAATGGCCTGATCTCAGCTCACTGCAACCTCCGCCTCCTGGGTTCAGGCAATTCTCCTGCCTCAGCCTCCTGAGTAGCTGGGATTACAGGCACGCACCACCATGCCCAGCTGATTTTTTGTATTTTTAGTAGAGACGGGGTTTCACCATGTTGACCAGGATGGTCTCGATCTCTTGACCTCGTGATCCACCCGCCTCGGCCTCCCAAAGTGCTAGGGATTACAGGCGTGAGCCACCGCGCCCAGCTAGTTCCCATTTCTTAATCTGCTATGAAAATACAAGTGCTCTCTGAAAGTACTGAGCTCTTATCAGCCATTTACATCTTTACTCAAATTCATTTAGTCCATGAGTTAGCCAGCCTATCACCCAGTGGGACCTGCAGGAGGATACAGGGAGAGGTGCAGAGCTGGAAGTGCTGCATCCCAGTGCTAAAAATGTTGAGATGCATGTTCCCGGGGGGTGGAGGACGTGAGGTCAGGACCACAGATGAGAAAGATAGATTCACTTCTGTCTAATAAATACTTATTGAGCAACTGCTCTGCCTCAGACACTGTGCTAAGCACTGAGGATACAACTGTGATATAAAGTAGATAAAATTCCTGCTCTACCAGGGCTCATACTTTAGCACCAGGGTGACAAGTTAGTGTGACTTTACAAGCTTGTTCTAACAGTTGGGAGTAGCTGTCTGGAATATTGAACTGAGAAGGATTTCAAAGACATGTTTATACTCAGTGGGAAAGGGTTCAATTGATGATGTCCGCCATTGTGAGAAGTGCCCTTTTTTGGTTGTCTCTGGGAGTGAGACAGAGGAAGACAACCAAACTCCTCCCAGTTATTTTTGTGCTGCCCATCCTACCCATACCTCCATCTTCTGCTAGAGTCTAACAGGTGAATCTAAAAATTAATCTAGTTCCCCATAGTTTGGGGATATAATCCAATTTTTTTTTTTTTTTGAGATGGAGTCTTGCAGCCGGGCGTGGTGGCTCACGCCTATAATACAGGCACTTTGGAGGCCAAGGCGGGCAGATCACCTAAGGTCAGGAGTTCAAGAACAGCCTGACCAACATGGTGAAACCCCATCTTTAAAAAAAAAAAAAAATTAAAAAGATATGGAGTCTTGCTCAGTCACCTAGGCTGGAGTGCAATGGTGCTGTCTTGGCTCACTGCAACCTCCGCTTTCCAGGATTAAGTGATTCTCCTGACAGCCTCCAGAGTAGCTGGGATTACAGGCACCCACCGTCATGCTTGGCTACTTTTTGTATTTTTGTAGAGACGGGGTTTCACCATGTTGGTCAGGCTGGTCTTGAATTCCTGACCTTAGATGATCTACCCGCCTTGGCCTCCCAAAGTGCTGGTATTTCAGGCATGAGCCACCACGCCCTGCCAGAATTCAAATTTTTAGCAAGGCCTACACACTCCTTTGGGAGCTGGTCCCTGTCCGTTTCTCTCCCTGTTCCCAATACTACTCTGTTCCTTCATAACTTCACTCTGACCAGTTAAGCTGCCAGTGTCCCTAAAGGTCCTCTGTGCTCTCCTGCTTCTCATTGTACCTCCAGTTCTCGATTTCTCACTCCCTTCCAGCTCACACGTCACCTCCTCCCCCAGGCCAGTCCACCTCCACCCCTACTCCACAGGCATAGCTTTATCAGAACATTCATCATGTAATTGTTCACTGGCTTCTCTCTCCCCACTGGCTATGAAGTCCTTTAAGAGTACAGCATGTCCCTTTTTTCTCCTTAGCCCAACACAGTGCTTGGCATGGGGTATGTGCTAATATTTGGATGAATTCATGCACAAACCAACAGATGAACTGCTGCTGATCTCCAGAGTTTTTCCAAGGATGATCTAAGTTGGTAGAGTTTGGATGCTACGGGGCATGGCCTCTTTTTGCGTCATTTAGGAATACCTAAGCCAAGGGGAGGAGAGAGAGAGAATGAATTAGGAAATGCTAGTCACTGCATTCCTTGACGTGCCTTTGGATTATGTTACTGGCTTTGAAAAGACATTGCCACTTGTTATTTTAAGTTTATGTAATACAAGTTCACAAGAATGTAGGAAAACCTTTCAGAAGAAGTCTGAATGTCAGGTTTGAAAGGTTGTATTTATTCAAGCTGGAGAGCAGAGGATCTCTTATTTCCTTCCCTTGACACAGGGGCCCAGCACTGGTGGACAGTTTGGGGTCTGCGTTTTCATCTCCCACACTGATCTAGCATGGCCTGCTTTCAAAGGTATGGCAGGTCTGAAAAATAGGAGGAGCCCTGCTCAATCATTTCTAAATCTTTAGCTAACAATCACCTCTTGCTTTAGATAGCCCAGGAGCACATCAGTTCTTTCTATTCTTAGACAAGATAAAAATATTATTTTTTGTGGGTTTCTTCCTTTGTAAAAAGTAACATACAGTCAGCCTTTGTATCTGTGGATTCTATGTCCATGGATTCAACCAACCATGGATAAAAAAATATTCAGAGAAAAAAAGAATTGTTGTGTCTGTACTGAACATACACAGACTTTTTTTTCTTTCTTGTCATTAGTCCCTAAACAATAACAACTATTTACATAGCATTTATATTGTATTAGGTATTCTAGGTAATCTGAGATATGTACAGTGGGATTGCATAGGTTATATGCAGATGCCACATCAATTTTTTTTTGTTTGTTGGTGGTTTTTTATTTTTAATTTTTATTTATTATTTTTTAAGACAAGGTGTCTCTCTGTCACCCAGGCTGGAGTATAGTGGCATGATCTTGGTGAAAGAGGATCAAAGAATTTGCAGTCATATTTTTAAAACTGCCGCACATGCACATGTGCTTTTCCCTCCCAAGGTTTTGGATTATGGAGGCATATACAGTATATTCTTTTTTTTTTTTTTTTTTTTTTTTTTGTGAGACAGAGCCTTCCTCTGTCACCAGGCTGGAGTGCAGTGGTGCAATCTCGGCTCACTGCCACCTCCACCTCCTGGGTTCAAGCGATTCTTCCGCCTCAGCCTCCCAAGTAGCTGGGACTACAGGCGTGTGCCACCACACCTGGCTAATTTTTGCATTTTTAGTAGAGACGGGGTTTCATCATGGCCAGGATGGTCTCAATCTCTTGACCTCATGATCCACCCACGTCGGCCTCCCAAAGTGCTGGGATTACACCACGCCCGGCCGGCATATACAGTATATTCTTATGTCCATTGTCTTGTCTGCCTACTGATACATCAGTAAAATAGTAGACTTTCATAATTACATAAAAATTAAAGAATCTGACAAACACTATGAATAAAATCAAAAGATATGGGGTGGGAAAAGTATTTAGATTTATAACACATGACAAAGGACTAATTATTTAGGTTCAAAAACGTCATACATAGCACTGAGTCAAATGCAGATTAACAGACAGTGAAACAGGTAATGGATATGAATGCCTAAGCCAAGGGGAGGAGAGAGAGAGAATGAATGAATGAATGTGTGTGTGTATAAAAATGTTTAACCAGTATTTAAGTGAACAATGTTTTCATTTTTCATCTAGCACGTGGCAAAGATAATAAATAATGATTTTCATCTTTTTCTTAATTTTATTATATAGGAAGCAATCCTCCCACAGCAGTATGACTCTGAAAGATCATGTTTAAAAAAAAAAAGTTACCGGGAGCAGTGGCTCAAGCCTGTAATCCCAGCACTTTGGGAGGCCGAGGCGGGTGGATCATGAGGTCAAGAGGTTGAGAATATCCTGGTCAACATGGTGAAACCCTGTCTCTACTAAAAATACAAAAAATTAGCTGGGCATGGTGGTGCGTGCCTGTAATCCCAGCTACTCAGGAGGCTGAGACAGGAGAATTGCCTGAACCCAGGAGGCGGAGGTTGCGGGGAGCCGAGATCGCGCAATTGCACTCCAGCCTGGGTAACAAGAGCAAAACTCTTGTCTCAAAAAAAAAAAAAAAGTTAAGTACAAAGGTTACAAAGGTCATTTAATTGTTTTACTTTAGCTGCTACAGGCCAGAGCAGATGGGCATTTCCAGCAGAGAGCCCTGCCTGCTGCCTTCTACTCATGGAATAGACTCTGGCGAAGGCACCAGCAGGAAAACGTCCTCAGTGCAAGAGCTACACATTTTCACAGGTATGCTGTTCAGCTCCTGTCTGCACTGGGGCAGGTGTCTCAAATCCAGCTCTGCCAGACACACAGCCCATTTGCTGTGCTTTTTAGCTTCCCAGACCCCAGGCCCTGGTTCTTCCTGGATTATCAATAATGTGGGCTCATTGATTTCATCTAGCAGGAAAAGAAAAGACAGTATTTCTCCTGGGAAATCTTCTGTCCATCTTTATTGTGAGGGCTTTCAAAACAGCCTGTTTGTAACCTTCATCAGCCACTGAGCGCTCCATTAAAGCAGCCCATTAGCATTGTGGATCAGAGCATGGTGGGACCTTTCATCACCTTGGCAGACATTCTTAAGTGTCATTTCCCCAAAACACTTAGTTCCAGTTCTGCTAGACCTGGCTATTTGAAGTCTTGAAATTATAGTCATCAACAAAACTAGAAAGGTCAGGCTGGGCGTGGTGGCTCATGTCTGTAATCCCAGCATTTTGGGAAGCCAAGGTGGGCAGATCACAAGGTCAGGAGTTCAAAACCAGCCTGGCCAACATCGTCACTACTGCAGATACAGAAAATTAACTGGGTGTGATGGCACACACCTGTAATCCCAGCTACTCGGGAGGCTGAGGCAGGAGAATCGCTGGAACCTGGGAGATGGAGGTTGCAGTGAGTGGAGATCGAGCCATTGCCCTCCAGCCTGGGCATCAGGGTGAGACTCCATCTAAAAAAAAAACAAACATTTAGGTCAAGGAGCAGAGCTACATATTTTTATTTCCCACAGGGGCAAACTTGCCCAAAACAGGTTCTTACTACATGGTAGGATATAATGAAGAAATTATTATAATTATTATTATTTTGAGCCAGAGTCTCGCCCTGTCACCCAGGCTGGAATGCAATGGTGAAATCTTGACTCACTCCAACCTCTGTCTCCCAGGTTCAAGCGATTCTCCTGCTTCAGCTTCCTGAGTAGCTGCGATTACAGGTGGGCACCACAACTCCTGGCTAATTTTTTGTATTTTTTTTTCTTTTTTTTTTTTTTAGATGGAGTTTCGCTCTTGTTACCCAGGCTGGAGTGCAATTGCGCGATCTCAGCTCACCGCAACCTCCGCCTCCTGGGTTCAGGCAATTCTCCTGCCTCAGTCTCCTGAGTAGCTGGGATTACAGGCACGCGCCACCATGCCCAGCTAATTTTTTTTGTATTTTAGTAGAGACGGGGTTTCACCATGTTTACCAGGATGGTCTCAATCTCTTGACCTCGTAATCCACCCACCTCGGCCTCCCAAAGTGCTGGGGTTACAGGCTTGAGCCGCTGCGCCCGGTTTTTGTTTGTTTGTTTGTTTGTTTGTTTGTTTGTTTGTTTTAAGATGAGGTTTCACCATGTTGGTCAGGCTGGTCTTGAACTCCTGGCCTCATGATCTGCCCTCCTTGGCCTCCCAAAGTGTGGGGAATACAGACATGAGCCACTGCACCTGGCCTGTAATGAAGAAATTATTAATCATTTACTGTATGCCTGCCACTGTGATGGGCATTGTGTGATGGAAGACAGAAAACAAATACATAAACTTATTTTGCACATGGCATCATTATCTTCATTAATAATTTCCTTTTCACAGCCACCTGAGAGATCAGGTTCAAAATGATAAATGGTAACACAACCAGTAAGTGGTGCAGCCAGGGTTTAAATTCAAATCTCCAGTTCCAAAGTCCAGGTGCTTTCTTCTTGATCAAGAGGAAGATCTTTTTGGTGACCTTGTAGGAGGGTGAAATTTTTATCAGAAGATAAGACTGACATACAAGAAACAACAGAGAAAGAATTCAAGAGAATAGATCCATGTGTCCTCAGTCATGTCAGCCACAAGTTCTTCCAGAGCTCAGAGCTATTGCCAAGGGAGGCTGAGCATGGAAAAAACTGGGAAAGGCTTCCTGTGAGTGCGAGGGTGAGGGTGGTGGCTGGAGTGGGCAAGAGAGGGAAGGCCAGACTGAAGGTTGAGCTGACTCCATAGACAGGTAATCTACAGGTATTTGAGCAGGTGCATGGAACTACTGTAAGTGACAGTTTTGGAGATGACCTTAGGTTCAGTGTACTTTATCTTAGGACGAAGAGGTGAGATGGAGGGAAGTTGCATTGGGGGAAGTTGCCTGTGATCTTAAATCTGGAGGATTTCAGGCCAGGTGCAAAGGCTCATGCCTGTAATCCCAGCAGTTTGGGAGGCCGAGGTGAATGGGTCATTGGAGGTCAGGAGTTTGAGACCAGCGTGGCCAACATGGTAAAACTCCATCTCTGCTAAAAATACAAAAATTAGCTGGGTATGGTGACGCCTGCTTGTAATCCCAGCTATTCTGGAGGCTGAGGCACAAGAATCACTTGAACCCAGGTGGCAGAGATTACAGTGAGCTGAGATAGCACCATTGCACTCCAACCTTGGATGACAGAGTGAAACTCCATCTCAAAATAAATAAATAAAAATCCGGAGGACTTTGAATGCTAGTTCAAGATTAGCCAGAACTCTGAGTTCCTCAGCACAAAGTCCAGGGAGATGATTTTAGGTGGTGGCCACAAGGAATAGAGGGTGATGAGAGAACACATCTTGTCTTTTCTGGCTTCTGCAGGCAGAGCAGTTTTGCCTATACCTAGTCCTGTATTGTAGGCTAGTATAAGATTCATTCAAAAAATGGATTGCTGGGCATGATGGCTCATGCCTGTAATCCCGAGGTGGGTGGATCACCTGAGGTCAGGAGTTCAAGACCAGCCTGGCCATCGTGGTGAAACCCCATCTTAAAAAAAAAAAAAAGTGGCTTCAGCCTGGATGTGGTGGCTCACACCTGTAATTCAGTACTTTGGGAGGCCAAGGCAGACAGATCACCTGAGGTCAGAAGTTCGAGACCAGCCTGAGCAATACGGCAAAACCCCATCTCTAAAAATACAAAAATTGAGGCCGGGCACTGTGGCTCACTCCTGTAATCCCAGCTCTTTGGGAAGCCAAGGCGGGTGGATCATGAGGTCAAGAGATCGAGACCATCCTGGTCAACATGGTGAAACCCCATCTCTACTAAAAATACAAAAAATTAGCTGGGCATGGTGGCGCGTGCCTGTAATCCCAGCTACTCAGGAGGCTGAGGCAGGAGAATTGCCTGAACCCAGGAGGCGGAGGTTGCGGTGAGCCGAGATCGCGCCATTGCACTCAGCCTCGGTAATAAGAGCAAAACTCCGTCTCCAAAAAAAAAAAAAAAAAAAAAAACAACTAAAATTGGCTAGGCATGGTGGCATATATCCCAGCTATTTGGGAGGCTGAGGCAGGAGAATCGCTTGAACCCAGGAGGTGGAGGTTGCAGTGAGCCAAGATCGCACCACGGCACTCCAGCCTGGGTGACAAAGCAAGATTCCATCTCAGAAAAAAAAAAAGTGACTTCAGTACTTAAAATACACACACAGTACCTCTTTGTTGTGCTAATAAGTAGCCATGCTTGGTTCTGTTTCTTTTTTGTATTCTACATTATGTGAGAACCAAAAATTAAAAGTACCTTCAAAATAGCCAAGAGGAGTCTTTAAAGGATTTTTGCTAGGGGAGTTTTGGGTGATTATTTAGAGCTATCTATCACTCTAGAGAAAAAGGGCGAAGGGTGAGTTGGAGACAGGGTATAGCCAGGAGGCTTGCAGGGTGGTGTAGGCCTGATCCAGATTTTGTCCTGTTTCAGTTTGGTTGGACCTTTTTAGAAAACTTGGGTTTTCAGATTCCTGTTTTCCTTGTTCATGAGCAAAATGATTGAGAGTCTGGCTTAGAAGCTGGACAGGCCTGAGTTCAGACCTATGCCCTGCCATCTGCCAGCTCTGTGACCCTGGACAAGTCAGTCTGTCTCTCTGAGCCTCAGTCTCCTTGAATGTAAAATTGAGATGATTTGGTCATAGTCTCTAACTCATATGGTTGTCATGAAGATGAAATGGGATAATATATGTAAAACACAAGCCAAGGGCCTAGCACAGAATATTAACTATCCCTCAGTCCCTGGAATTGATCTGTGAGTCTCATGACATGTACATATTCAGAGGATTGGTACGGAGTTTAGCAAATTAAAGTTCCAACTAAATATGTATCTTCAATATTCTTAGGGTTTTAAAAAATGTTTTAGTAATATAGGCAGATTTTATGATGGGATGTCATGAATTATGACTAAAAATAATTTTATAACTCTCCAGTGTAAGGTACTAAGAATGAGACAGAATTGGTTTGTCATTAATTTGAGATAAAGTGTACATATATACAGTGAAACGAATAGATGTTAAAGTTTGATGAGTTTTCATAATTTATGCTCCTGTATAATCAACATTCCAATCAAGATGTAGAACATTTCTGTCACCCCAGAAAGTTCCTTCATGTCCCCTCCAGTCAATCTCTACCCTGTATAGGTAAACAATGTTCTGATTTCAGTCATTGTAGGCTAATTTTGCATGTGTTTTCTTTTTTCTTTTTATTTATTTTTTGAGACGGAGTCTTGCTCTATCGCCAGGCTGGAGTACAGTGGCGCAATCTCGGCTCACTGCAACCTCCACCTCCTGGGTTCCAGCGATTCTTCCGCCTCAGCCTCTTGAGTAGCTGGGATTATAGGTGCCCACCACCACGCCCAACTGATTTTTTGTATTTTTAGTAGAGATGGGGTTTTCACCATGTTGACCAGGCTGGTCTTGAACTCCTGACCTCAGGTGATCCACCCACCTTGGCCTCCCAAAGTGCTAGGATTACAGGTGTGAGCCACCACACCTGGCCGAATATACCAAATATGTATATTTTCCAGCCCTGCACCCCCCCTTTTTTTTTTTAATGAACAGAAGTGTTTGATTTCTGTTGGATTGATACAGTGCAATTTATCCTTTTTTTATGGTTAGTGATTTTAGGGTCCTTTCTAAGAAATATTTGCTACTCCGGGATCGCAAAAGATATTTTCCTATATTTTATCTGGAAACTTTATAGTTTTAACACTTGCATTTAAGTCAATGATCATGTTGAATTTTTTTTCTACATATGGTATGACGTAGGAGTCAAGGTTTATTTTTTTCTATATGTTTATGAGGTTTTTCCAGCACCATTTGTTGAAAAAACTTTTTATTCTCTCATTGAATTGCTTAGTTCATTTATATTTATCGTAATTACTGATATGGTTGGGCTCATGTCTACATCTGTTTTTTGTTTCTCTCTTCCTTTTTTTCCTGCTTTTTAAATTTATTTTGTTTGTTTTGTTTTGTTTTTAAAGACGGGGTTTCACCATGTTGGTCAGGCTGGTCTTGAACTCCCGACCTCAGGTGGTCCACCCGCCTTGGCCTCCAAAGTGCTTGGATTACAGGCGTGAGCCACCACACCCGGCCTCCTTTCTACTTTTCTAATTCACCTGGAACACTTGTTTAAAACGCTGTTTCCTGAGACCCCCCTCCGACTTGCTCAGTCAGCCTTAGGGGTCTTGCATTTGTTTTTCAACAGTTCCTCAAAGGATTGGTGTAGAAGCAACTTGGCTGGTCAGTATGCCTGGAAAAGGCTCTCATGAACAATCCTTAATCAGTGGTTTTTTGTTGCTGTTGTTGTTGTTTGAGATGGAGTTTCACTCTTGTTACCCAGGCTGGAGTGCAATGGCGCGATCTCGGCTCACCGCAACCTCCGCCTCCTGGGTTCAGGCAATTCTGCCTCAGCCTCCTGAGTAGCTGGGATTACAGGCACGTGCCACCATGCCCAGCTAATTTTTTTGTATTTTTAGTAGAGACGGGGTTTCACCATGTTGACCAGGATGGTCTTGATCTCTTGACCTTGTGATCCACCCGCCTCGGCCTCCCAAAGTGCTGGGATTACAGGCTTGAGCCACCGCGCCCAGCCTTCAGTGGTTTTTTTTTTTTTAAGTCAATGTGGAATTAATGAAGACCTGGAGTCTCAGGGTCAGAGTCTTTTTTGTATGGTGTGAATGCTTGGTTGATATCAGAAAAAACTTGGAAAATGTTGGCCTTTTAAAAGTTATGTTTTTTGGCTGTCTGCTTTTCTTCCCTTTTTCGTTGTGTTGCTTTCTCCCTCATCTCAGCTTATTCACCTCTTTTCTTTTTTTCAGTGACAGAGTCTCACTCTGTTGCCCAGGCTGGAGTGGAGTCGCATGATGATAGCTCATCACAGCCTCAAACTCCTGGGCTCAGGCAATCCTCCCACCTCGGTTTCCCAGGTAGTTGGGACTACAGGCACACACTACCACACCCGGCAATTTAAATTTTTTTGTAGAGAGCCTTGTTATGTTGCCCAGGTTGGTCTTGAACTCCTAATTTCCAGCAATCCTCCTGCTTTGACCTCCCAAAGTACTAGGATTACAGGCATCGGCCACCACCTAACTCACCTCTTACACAGTAGCATGGTATAAAAGGAAAAATCCAATTATTTGGAACTTGTAGTTCTGTTTGGGTTAATTTCTGTTTTTGTTTTAAGTGCTTTACATTTTTCCTTGTTTTTTTAGGGAGAAAGTAGAGAAGCAAGTATTTTCTATCTGGTGGCAGAAGATGTTACAGCATCGAGAAAACCACTTGGCAGAGAGAATGGTAAATGGCTGTCCCTGTGGAGATTCCTGGAGCGGCAGGACCTGATTCTAGCCATTGCACTCACGATCTCTCCTCCTCAGGAAGTCGCTCGGCCTCACTGGAGAGCTTCTGCCTGTGACTCATGAGGCCAGGCAGGCTCTGGGGCATCTGTCCTTTCTCAGTGGAGCTTGTGGACAGCTCCTGGGATGGACCACTTCCTGATGTCCATTCCTTTTGCCTTGGTCATTATTTGTGGCCTATAAATTCTTTCCTGGCTTCTGTGCCTCTCTCCTACTTGACTTATTCTGTTCTCTCCTTCCTGTCCTGCCTCAGGCCATCCTTCACGCAGAGCGACAGCTTCTGCATAGGTCCTGGTTCACGTGGCACCAGCAGGCAGCAGCACGTCACCAGGAGCAGGAGTGGCAAACAGTGGCCCGTGCCCACCACCGCCGCAGGCAGCTCAGGAAAGCTTTCTGCCTCTGGAGGGAAAGTGCCCAAGGGCTCAGAACAGAGTGAGTGGTCGGTTCTGCCTGGAAAGCCTTTCCACTCCAGGCCAGCTCTGATTATAGTAGCAGCACCATCAGCTCCCAGTGCGTGTCTGGAGGATTACATTACCCCAGACTCTGGTTGTAAGTTCTAGAAATTCAACCTAGAAGAGTCTAAGTAAAACTAGGTTGGAACAGCAGGATCTTGGGGTACCTCATGGAGCTTGCAGCCTCAGGAATTTGGCTGGATACGGAAGTGCTCTGTGGATCTGGGAGGTTCTGTTCATTGGCCACAGCCTGCTTACATTAGGGGCCCATTTGAAGTGACCATAGCCAGCTTGGGAGGCTGAGACAGGTGGATCACTTGAGCTCATGAGTTCAAGACCAACCTCACCAACATGATAAAACCCTGGCCCTATTAAAAATATAAAAATTATCCAGGCGTGGTGGCGCAAGGCTGTAATCCCAGTTACTCAGGAGGCTGAGGCATGAAAGTTGCTTGAACCCAGGAGTTGGAGGTTGCAATGAGCTGAGATCACACCACTGCACTCCAGCCTGGGCAACAGAGCAAGACTCTGCCTCAAACAAACAAAAGTGGCCATAGCCAGGAAATAAACTGATGGGCCCATGTTGTGATAGCTGACTGCTGCAGATGCAGGATAGGGACCAGCAGCTGGCCAGTAGGTGGGCTGTAGCAGTTTTTAACCACATCATGTAGTTAGAGAGAGGAAGGTAGGCAGTCCATGTGTCCACTGCAGAGACTGTCCTGCTTTGGGGCCTTTCAGTATTCACTATGTGTTCTGAGGATTTCACTCCTTGTCAAACTCTGGCCACATTTAACCACCACCTCAGGCGAGAGCTTCACACCTGCACATGTGAGCTTCAGTGGCACTTGAAGCCCTGTGAAGTTGTAGGCCAAATGCGATGAGATGTGCTTTTTTCTGAGAGCGCAAGTTCTTTGGCAGCTCTTCAGAGAGGGTCTTGGCTTCCCCAAAAACTTAACCAGGTAGGGGCCACGGACTGTGAGGAGGAGCCCACAGAGGGTGCCCTTGCTGGATGGGGGCAGCAGCATTGAGCTCTGCCATCTCTCCATAGGAGGACGGGCTGGGTGCAGGCAGCAGAATTCAACGCAGCCCAGCTCCTGCATTGGGCCTGGAGCCAGTGGAGGGAGGTAAGGCGTTGGTGCAGGTGTCACCCAGGTATGGCTTTTGAACATGTGGGCTGTGTGTCAGCAGGGCTCACAGCCGACATGTGGGCCAAACCACCTACCTCTGAGCTGAAGGAAGAGAACAGGCAGCAGATGAAGTGTTAACTCAGTTTTATGAGACGATTGGCTCAAAGTGTTGTGCTCTTTCAGATACTAGGCTGTTCTTATTTGAACTTACTGCATCTAAAATTCCTGATCTAACTATTTACAGGAATCCTGCTGAGAGTAAAAAATGTTTAAACTCACATTAATTGAGCATTTACCACAGATCAAGCGCTTGCCTCCCCCAATCCTCACAGAACCCTGAGACCTGCACATTCATAGATGAGGCCAGAGGGGTTAAGTAATTTACACTCACACAGATGAAGTGTAAAATGGAGGCAAAGCAGGAAGCCACCCCCAGCTGGGCCCCCAGCCCACAGTAGCTGCTTGCTTCTCTGTCTGCAGTGCCTGGCCCTGCGGGGAGCGGAGCGGCAGAAGCTGAGGCAAGCGGAGCTGCATCACCAGCGCACGGTGCTGCTCAGAGCGCTGCAGGCGTGGGTGGTAGGAGCTGCTGCTTCCCTCCTGAGCTCCTTGCTGTGGGGACAGGGGAGGTTTCTGGAGATTTTGTTTCCCTTCCTTGTTCTTCCTGTCCCTCCCACAACAGAGTGACATGACAAACCTGAAACCAAACAAGTACCTTAGCGAGGCCTGGGGCCTTAGGCCTTAGGTTCTTCGATTCTTGCTTGGCCAAGTGGAAACAAGTGCTGTTGGTGGGCCCCAGCCTTGAGGGGAAAGCAGCTCCTGGTCCAGGAGTCCTGTGGTTTGACTTAGGAAGTGAGAGCCTGTGGGACAGTCTTCTCCCTGTTGTCTGGGAGGGTCTGTTGGCCCTGGGACTAAAGGCTGTTGGCCTCTCCCTGCCCTTTTTGAGTGCTCTGGGCATGGCAGCCTTGTGCTGGAGGCACCTCTGAGGCCTGCCTAAACAGGGAGAAGTGTGGACCCATGGGCAGCCTCCAGTCCCCCTTGTCCCCCACAGACTTACCAGGGCAGGGTGCAGAGCATCCTACAGGAGGTGGCAGCCAAGGAGGGCCGGCACAACAGGCAGCTGCTGCGGTGAGTCTCCCAGGCGCCTCCCGGGCTCTGGCCGGGGAATGAGGGACACACTCCAAACCCCAGCCTTTTAGGGGGTCCTGCTGAGGGCCAGGGGATGATCCCAGGTCCCTAGTACCTAATACTATGGTCTTGGCTTTTCCACTTCACTCATGGGTTCGCCTTCATTTGTCTTAAGCCCCTGCTGTGTACAGGGCAGGCCTTGGAAAGCAGCTGTCGCCTGCATGCCTTGAAGACCACTTGTCTTGCTCTTCTTAACACTTTTTCCTCCCTGCTTCACACCTGCAAGATTCAGGGGTTTGCAAAGCTTGGCAAGATTCAGCTTTGCAAGAGATTCACCTTGTCATCTCTTCCACTCCAGAGGCTGCAGTGGCTCCCTTTCCTGTCAATTTCTAGGCAATCCCCTCCCACTTGCTCTGCAGGCCTGTCACTGACTTCAGAGTCACTTCTAGGCCCTGTCGGACCATCTCCACCACTCACTCCTGTAGAGGGCGCTTATGCAGCTTCCTCCACTTTTTCTAAGCCAAACTCTAACGTCACTCCTTCCCAGTAGTCTTCCCACATGCCCCTCTTTCATTTCCTTCCGTTGTATTTGTTCAGCACATGAGAATTCAGGTGGCCTATGGGCAGTGGATTTTTAAACGCCTCCATCCTTACCTGGGCACAGTGGCTCACACCTGTAATCCCAGCACTTTGGAAGGCTGTTTTGAGTCCAGGAGTTTCAGACCAGCCTGGGCAATGTAGCAAGACCTTGTCTGCACTAAATATAAAAACATTAGCCAGGCATTGTCATGTATGTGTGTGGTTCCAGGTACTTGGGAGGTTTAGGTGGGAGGGTCACTTGAGCCTTGGAGGGGCTGCAGTGAGCCATGATCAAGCCAGTGCACTCCATCCTGGGCGATGGAGTGAGATCCTGTCTCTAAAAAGTAAAGAAATAAAGTAAATGCCTCCATCCCTCATATGGGATCCCATAGAGCACCCATCCCGCTCTTCAGACAGAGTAGGATCAGCAAGAGGAACTCCCCAAGCTAACGCAGCAGCAAGCTGAGGCATAGACAACCTTCCTCGGGGTTCCCTGCCTCTCCACACTTCTCTTATCACAGTGTGAGTCACCTGTGTTGCCACTGCCTGATTACGCCCTGTTATCCCCACAGCACCTGGAGTTTGGTCTCCAGCAGTGCTGGGTCCCTCATGCACTCTTGGTGCCCAGCCCAGAGCAGCTGCTCAGTAGCCATTTCTTGGACATAGATATGCATGTAAACATGGGGGTTTGTCAAACATTCTTAGGCAAGAGTCCCTGACTCAGGAGCAGAGGGAGAAGGGGAATGATTCACAGAAGCCTCCCTTCTCTCTCCATCCTGGTGTCATCTGCCCTCCCCGCACCCGTGCACCTGCAGGGGGGCGTTACATCGCTGGAAAGAGAACACCATGGCCCGCATGAATGAAGCCAAAAAAACCTTTCAAGCAAGTACTCATTACAGAAGGACCATATGTTCCAAGGTGAGGTATAAGGAGGCAAGCTGGTCACCCAGGACAGTTGGGGACTGTGTTCTGGTGAGGGCGTGGGGGGTGGTACCAGAGATTTAAACTGAATAAGGAACCTAGAAAATGGGTAACTTTCCTCCAGCACATACACAAACATCCATGTGGGCAGATATTTAGTTTTTTACTGAATTATAAACCAATATGCATTAAAATAGAAATATAACACATCATAAGTGAAGTGGTTCTTACCAGAACCCAGAAACAGTATTTGCCTTTTTTTTTTTTTTGAGACAGAATCTCTGTCACCCAGCCTAGAGTGCAGTAGTATGATCTCAGCTAACTGCAGCCTCCATCTCCTAGGTTCACGCAATTCTCTTGCCTCAACCTCCCAAGTAGCTGGGACTGCAGGCATGTGGTACCACGTCCACTAATTTTTGTATTTGTAGTAGAGATGGGATTTCACGATGTTGGCTAGGCTGATCTTGAACTCCTAACCTCACCACCTGCCTTGGCCTCCCAAAGTGCTGGGGTTACAGGCACTTTGAATCTTAAGAGGCAGAGGTTGCAGTGAACCAAGATCGCACCACTGCACGCCAGCCTGGACAACAGAGCAAGACTATCTCAAAAAAAAAAAAAAAAAAAAAAAAAAGGAAAAGAAAACTCCAAAGCCAGCTTGTACCTCCCTTCCTCTGGAAGGAGAGCACAGGAATCTTTGCTTGGCTTCAGAGCTTGAAGAGGAGGCCTTTTTAGTGGGAATAGAGTTCATGACAGTTTGCAGGCAGACACCAGGCATCCCCTGGGCAAGTATTTTGTTACCGTGATTTTGTAGGCATCACTCATACAAAAGAGTGGATACAATGTATGTGTGTTCCATTTAATAGATAATAATAGAGGCCATGTATGGTGGCTCATCCCTTTAATCTCAGCACTTTAGGAGGCCAAGGCGGGTGGATCACTTGAAGTCAGGAGTTTGAGACCAGCCTGGCCAACATGGTGAAACCCCATCTCTACTAAAAATACAAAGATTAGCCGGATGTGTTGGTGCATGCCTGTAAGCCCAGCTACTCAGAAGTCTGAGGCGGGAGAATTGCTTGAACCTGGGAGGTGGAGGTTGCAATGAGCCGATATCATGCCACTGCACTCTAGCCTGGGTGACAGAGCAAGACTCTGTCTCAAAAAAAAAAAAAAAGGTTTTATGGCCAGGGCGTGGTGGCTCATGCTTGTAATCCCAACACTTTTGGAGGCTGAGGCAGGCGGATCACGAGGTCAGGAGTTTGAGACCAGCCTGTCTTACATGGTGAAACCCCATTTCTACTAAAAACAAAAATTAGCTGAGTGTGGTGGCACCTGCCTGTAGTCCTAGCTACTTGGAAGGCTGAGGTAGGAGAATTGTTTGAGCCCAGGAGGCAGAGGTTGCAGTGAGCCAAGATCACGCCACTGCACTCCAGCCTGGACAACAGAGTGAGACTCCCATCTCAAAAAAAAAAAAATTACACACACACACACACACACACACACACACACACATACACACATAAATGAATGAAGACCCATGTGATTACTTCGGTACTTTATGGCTTCCCGTGAGGGGCTGGGGCCCTGTCCTACTGCTCTGCTCAGTGGTCTGCATGGATGGCAGGTGCTTCTTGCACTATATGTGAGAAACAAATGGCAACAGCTTGGCCTCGCCTCTCCAGGAGGCACCATCACAGACCTGGGGTGGCCCCAGAAGCCAGGAGGTGTAGTGACTTGCTGTACTTCTTGCCTGTCTGTAGGTCCTGGTCCAGTGGCGGGAGACTGCGTCAGTGCAGATATATTACCGACAGCAGGAGGGCCGTGCCATCCGGGAGGCCCGGAAGGTGCTTGATAGGGGTAAGTGGGGCCCCCAGAAGCAAGTCGTGGTGAGGAATGTGAAGACAGTGCTGTTGTGGCCCTTCCTTGCCTCTCCCAACTTGTTTGTTGTTGGTCATGGCTTTCCTGGACGTGTGGACCCATTGCTCCAGTCTTTGCCCCATCTTGACATGTCATTCCCATCCTGTGTCTCTGGGTCCCTTAGAAGGACTGTGGTCATATTGGATGAAGGGTCCACTCTACTCGAGTCCACTCTACTCGAGTATGACACCATCCTAACCAATTACATCTGCAGCAAGCCTAGTGCCGGATAAAATCATGATGTGAGGTTCCAGGAAGGGCATGAATACAGCAGGTCTGGAGGGGGCACTGTTCAGTCCATCTTAGAAATCTGTTCCCAACTGATTGCCAACCAATTTATGTTAAAATGAAAGGCTAGAGCTTGAGGTCTACAGAGAACTAAAAGAAGCTGGACTGGAGTTCAGGGTGGGTGGGGAGGGGGTTGTTTTGATGGGAAGTCCTTGCTGCTTGTCAGGTCAGCCCCCACTGTGTTAGGGTCCTGCTTCCTTGTCTAGCTGGGCCCTTGAATGTTTAGGGGCCAGAGACTTTCTAATTCTACCTCAGGAAGTCCCACTGCCTGCTGTAGATACATCTTTGGAAAGATTGCCGGGCACCGTGATGCACACCTGTAGTACCAGCTACTCAGGAGCCTGAGGTGGGAGGATCACTTGAGCCCAGGAGCTCGAGGCTGCAGTGAGCTGTGATCACACCACTGCACTCGAGCCTGGGAGGCAAAATGAGACTCAGTCTCTTTTTTTCTTTTTCTTTTGAGACAGTCTCACTCTGTTGCTCAAGCTGGAGTACAGTGACACAATCTCGGCTCACTGCAACCTCCTCCTCCTCCTGGGTTCAAGCGATTCTCCTGCCTCAGCCTCCCAAGTAGCTGGGACTACAGGTATGCGCCACCATGACCTGCTAATTTTTGTATTTTTAGTATAGCAGGGTTTCACCATGTTGGCCAGGCTGGTCTCGAACTCCTGACCTCAGGTGATTCACCTGCCTCTGCATCCCAAAGTGCTGGGATTACAGGTGTGAGCCACTGTGCCTGGCCGGGAACCCAGTCGCTTTTAAAAAATCTTTGGAAAGGAGCCGGGCGCGGTGGCTCAAGCCTGTAATCCCAGCACTTTGGGAGGCCGAGGCGGGTGCATCGCAAGGTCAACAGATCGAGACCATCCTGGTCAACCTGGTGAAACTCCGTCTCTACTAAAAATACAAAAAATTAGCTGGGCATGGTGGCGCGTGCCTGTAATTCCAGCTACTCAGGAGGCTGAGGCAGGAGAATTGCCTGAACTCAGGAGGCGGAGGTTGCGGTGAGCCGAGATCGCGCTATTGCACTCCAGCCTGGGTAACAAGAGCGAAACTCCGTCTCAAAAAAAAAAAAAAAAATCTTTGGAAAGATAGTCTAGAACAAGAGTCTTTGTGCCTGCTTGCAGGATGCACAGACTAGTGGCACACCCGTGGGGAGCTGTCTCCTAACACAGCTAGGGGTCCCCTAGTCTCAGAGTGTCAGCAGAATCTGACACTCTGAAGGGAACAGCTCATTTCTAGAATAAATGAAAATATAAACAAAAATGGAAACAATTAGAAATGGTTTAAATTGGTCTACAGAGAAATTGACCAAGTTGTTAGGTTGGTTTAATAGAGTTTGCTCTAGGACAAAACTGAATCAGTTTTGGTTTGCTTGTGACTGTAGCTTGTGTTAATGAGCATGTTTCCATACACATCCTGGGGACAAAACCCTGGGATCAGCCATCCTGCATGGCCTCATTACTGTACCACAAACATGCTGCTGGGTCCTCAAGCTCCTCAGCTCAGAAACCAGCACTGTGTTTCTAGTTCACTAAGACAGAAGTGGAGAGGTTTAGCCAGCCTTGGGTTCTGGAGCTTCTGCATCTGACCCTTTGCACACCTTCCCTGCAGCCTTGAGCTGCAACTGCAAACTGGCTTCTGGTCAGTTTGGGTTGGCTGCCTTAAGGGTCAGGTGCCCACTCCTGGCTGTGGTGGAAGTTAGAGGTGATGGATTTGAGTGCAGCCCGAAGCTGCTGCTCTCTGAAGGACTTTCCTTAGAAGGAGGTGGTGGCAGGCTTGGATTGCCACATCCATTACAGATGGTACGAGGAACTTGGGAGACTGGGCATCGAGATAGGGTACACGGGGATGGACTTGGTGGCTTATGCCTGTATCCCAGTGCTTTGGGAGGCCGAGGCAGGCGGATCATGACATGAGGTCAGGAGATTGAGACCATCCTGGCCAACATGGTGAAACTCCGTCTCTACTAAAAATACAAAAAAAAAAAAAAAAAAAAAAATTAGCGGGGCGTGGTGGCACGTGCCTGTAATCCCTACTATTTGGGAGGCTGAGGCATGAGAATCACTTGAACCCAAGAGGTGGAGGTTGCCGTGAGCCGAGATTGTGCCACTGCACTCCAGCCTTGTGACAGAGTGAGACTCCATCTCAAAAAAAAAAAAAGGAAGACAGCATATACATAGTAGCTATACAATAAATACCTGGGAAACAGTTGCCTGGCTTATTTTAAGGCCTTGGTGTCTCAGGCACACCTTGGCAGGCCAAGGGTGGGGTTGGATGCTGGGAGGAGGGACCAGGGGGAGGATTCACAAGACTCATTATGCAGGGTGCTGAAGGTGCAGGCTGGGGGTCATAACCTGGCTCTGTGTGACCTCCAGCAGGGCCCCCTTTGTGAGTCTCAATGTCTCCATCTGTAAAATGGGGATAACAGAGCCTACCTCTTGGGGTTGTTGTGGAGATAAGTGAGATGACAGGTAGATACACACTTAGGGCAGAGCCCGGGCATCAGCAGGCAGCACGAATGTGGGTGCCTCCTACTTTGTGACCTGCTATCTTCCCTGCCTGCTCCAGTGGGTCCTGGAGGGCTCCTCATCTTGGCATCTGTGCCCTGCTCTCAATCCTGTTCTGTTGTCTCACAAAGAAAGTTCTCTCAGGGCCCAAGAAAGATTCATCAAAGGGAGAATCTGGTGACACAAAAGCAAAAAACACAAAAGGCCCATGCTGCAGAGCCCAGGGAGTCAGAGGACATGGCTTGGGCTGCGCTGACAGCTCTGACTGGCCGTGATTTCCATCCTGGCACAACGGGCTGCTGTCTCCTTCAAGCTGCAGTTCAAGTGGGGCTCCTCCTCCTCCCTCAGATGGAGGGTCTTCTTCCACATGCCCAGAAGCATTTTGCACATGACTGAGGAGGCCCCTGGTACTCCTGGAGGCTGTGAACAGGCTTGTGGCTCTGGGAGGGCCCTTGGGAAGCACAGCACTAAACACATCTGCTTCCACTCCCCAGGGGTTCACTGTCGGCAAAGGTGGCCAGAGCTGTCCCTAGAGAGGGGCCATGGAACACGTGGTGGTTTTACCGTGTGGGCTGGACACCCAAATTCTATCCCCACATAGCCACCTCTGCTGTCTGTACCTTCACCATTACGTAGTCACTGGTGAAAATCCCACAAAACGGCAAACTCTGGCTTGGATCTGCCTTAGGCTGTCTCCGGACCTGGTTTCAGCGCTGGCGGAACTGCAACCGGAGGTCAGCCCAGCAGAGACTGCAGCTGGAGAAGGGCAGCCCAGCACCACCACCGGCAGCTGCTGCTGGAGGGGCTGGCCCGATGGAAGACACACCATCTGGAGTGTGTCAGGAAGAGGGTGAGGCCAACGGTGGCAGCTCTCCAAGATCCCCCTGCCTGGCAAGTGGTGTCCAGGCCAGAGACCATTTCTCAGGAAGGGTCTCTCCAGGCAGCCGGTATGAGTGGTGGGTGGTTTGGGATCCTGTAGGACAAGGCTACAGGAGGCATTCTGGGCATTTAGTGGAGGCTGGAGGGTTGTCAGCCCCAGAATCCATTATCTCCCAGGGAAGATGGCTTAGCGGAAAAACCTGGTTCCTGCTGACCCTTGGCTTATCAGTGCTGGGGGACCTATAGCGTCCTCCAGGGACTCCCTGGCTATGCAGGAGACCCCTGGCACCATCCAGCAGCCCTGGCAATGGGAGGAAATTCAGCTGGGCTGGAAGGCTCACCCTGAGGCTGGGTTAGGTCAGGACCCACCCCAGGCCGTCTAGGCTAGTCACACTCTCTGCACTCGCTCTCCCCAGCTCCTGCACAGGCAGAGCACCCAACTGTTGGCACAGAGACTCAGCCGGACCTGCTTCCGCCAGTGGAGACAACAGGTGGGAGCCCCTCCATACTCCCTTCTCCTTCCTCTGGCTTGTGAGGCCCGGGCAGTGAGTGACCTTCTAGTCACTCTAGCCCACACCTCTAGTACAGTGTTTTGACTGTCACCCTCCCCAGGGCTACCTCCTCTACCACCTTCCAGTCATTTCCTGGCACCATCAGCTTCCTTCCATCTGTAGCCTGCATAAGACCAGTTACTCCAAGGCCTGGTTTCTCTACACTGTTGTATTAAAAAATACGTCAGTGGGCGAGGCGTGGTGACTCACACCTATAATCCCAGGACTTTGGGAGGCCAAGGCAGGAGGACCTCTTGAGCCCAGGAGTTCAAGACTAGCCAGGGCAACATAGTAAGACCCTATCTGTACAAAAACAAAATAAAAATTAGCTGGGTGTAGGTAGTGTGCACCTGTGGTCCCAGCTATTTTGAGAGGCCGAGACGGGAGGATCGCTGGAGCCCAGGAGGTCGAGGTTGCAATGAGCTGTGATCATGCCACTGCACTCCCGCCTAGATGAGAATGAGATTCCATCTTAAAGAAAAAAGAAATCAGGCCGGGCACAGTGGCTTTCGCCTGTAATCCCAGCACTTTGGGAGGCTGAGGTGGGTGGATCACCTGAGGTCAGGAGTTTGAGACCAGCCTGGCTAACATGGCAAAACCCCGTCTCTACTAAAAATGCAATTAGCTGGGCATGGTGGCATGTGCCTGTAATCCCAGCTACTAGGAGGGCTGAGGCAAGAGGATTGCTTCCAGCCTGGGCGACAGAATGAGACTCCATCTCAAAAAAAAAAAAAAGCCAGGCAAGGTGGCTCACATCTGTAATCCCAGAACTTTGGGAGGCCAAGGCAGGCGGATCACGAAGTCAGGAGTTCAAGACCAGCCCGGCCAACGTGGCAAAACCTTGTCTCTACTAGAAATACAGAAGTTAGCTGGGCATGGTGGCATGTGCCTGTAATCCTAACTACTTGGGAGGCTGAGGCAGGAGAATTCAGCTTGAACTGGGACCCAGGAGGCGGAGGTTACAGTGAGCTGAGATCACACCACTGCATTCGAACCTGAGCTACAGAGTGAGACTCCATCTCAAAAAAAAAAAAAAGCATAATATCTAAAAATTAATATGAAATGTGTTTTAAGGCTTTGCTGGGATCTTGATAAAAAGCCAAGAGGGATCATGCAGAGCAGCACCTCACATCCCCAGCTCCCTCTTCCCGCCCTATTGTCCCGTTCCCACCCTCTGAGGGGGACCTCAGCCCGCTGCCTCAACGCATCCTCCTGCAGGAGCTTTTTGCCACTTTCTTTTTTTTTTTTTTTTTTTTTGAGACGGAGTTTCGCTCTTGTTACCCAGGCTGGAGTGCAATGGCGCTGATCTCGGCTCACTGCAACCTCCGCCTCCTGGGTTCAAGCAATTCTCCTGCCTCAGCCTCCTGAGTAGCTGGGATTACAGGCACGTGCCACCATGCCCAGCTAATTTTTTGTATCTTTAGTAGAGACGGTGTTTCACCATGTTGACCAGGATGGTCTTGATCTCTCGACCTTGTGATCCACCCGCCTCGGCCTCCCAAAGTGCTGGGATTACAGGCGTGAGCCACCGCGCCCGGCCCGCCACCTTCTTTCTTAAAAGTCCTTCCTTCCTTGGGCCACAGATGGAGTGTGTGTTGAGCACCTCACAGCCAGGCATGGGTCTGGCCCTTCCTAGTGGAGGATGGGGAGCCTTGATTACAGAGGGGGGCGAGAGGGCCGAGCCGGGCAGGGCTCTGTTATCAGCACAGCCTCAGTGAAGGGGCGATGGGGAAATGATCTGGTCTTTCTGGCCCTAGCTGGCAGCCAGGAGGCAGGAGCAGCAGGCGTCAGTGCGGGCCTTGTGGTTCTGGGCCTTCTCACTGCAGGCAAAGGTAATCAGGGCTCTGCATCCTGCCATCCCTACCTCTCCTTCAGGCCTAAGCCCTGCCTTGGGTGGAGGGAGGGCACCTGGTCTGTGAGGGAGCCCTAAGCGGGATACCTGGGCCTCACGTCCTGCCTTCCCTGGAGGTGTGGGCCACATGGCTGGCCTTTGTGCTGGAGAGGAGGAGGAAGAAGGCACGGCTGCAGCAGGCGCTCCAGGCCCACCAGGGGCAGCTCCTCCGGGAGGGTGCCATGCGGCTCCTGCGCTTTGCAGCCGGCATGAAGGCCTCTCGGCAGCAGCTGCAGGCCCAGCAGCAGGTCCAGGTAGGTCCAGGGCCCTACCCGTTCCTGTGAGGAGCAGGCAGGGTGTGGCATGGGCTGACCGGAGGCTGTGTTGCAGGCAGCTCACAGTCTCCACCGTGCTGTCCGCCACTGTGCCACACTCTGGAAACAGAAGGTGTTGGGCTGGGGCAGGGAGCCTCAGCCCCTGGCACCCATCGCATCCAGCAGAAAAGTGACGTTTGAGGGTACCCTTCTAAACTGCATTGCTGCTGGGGCTGGGGATGCCACCCTGGAGACTAAGAGGCCACAGGCTCCTCGGCCTCAGGGAGCTCTGGGCCGCCTGGCTGCTGGGGAGCCCCATGCCCTGGAATTGTGAGTACCCCCATCCTCACCTTGTCTTCCTCGCTTCCACCTTGGGCAGAAGTTTGGATGGCATATCAGGGAGGGAAAATGGGCCCTGACAGGGGGTGGGATGGGCTGCTCATGGTCTTGTCACAGCTGAGCTGCTGGGAAACCAGCAGCTCTTGTCCGGCCAGATCCCGTCCCTCCCACAGCAGGAGGGAGAGAATGGAGTGGGATTTTCAGACCATCTCTCCTCCTGCCCTCTCCCGTTCTGCTGACACGATCTTTTTCGGAGTCATGCACTAGTTGACAAAGGGAACAAGCTCAGCTCCTGCCTGCGCCTGCCAGTCTCTCTTCTGCTCCCTCACAGCCAAGACACTGGTTTTCTTGTCAGAAGCCCCTCATTCTTGTGTGAGCTGGCAGCTGTCCCTCTGCCTACCCCTTCTATGGTCTCAAACCCTAACCTGCCCTGCCCTTTGCTGGTGAAGCTGGTGGCTCCCACAGCAACCAGTGCTGAGAGCCTTGGGTCTCAGGTGGGTGCATGGGGTCTGGGCCCTGGTCCCTGCTCTGCCTCTCACTTTCTGACCTTGATGGGAACCTGAATGTCTCAGGCTGCTCCCCTGTGACATGGACCCTGGCGACCTGTATACCTGCGTCACCAGGTTTGCTGTGCAGGTCAAAAGAGACAGTGTGGGTGAAGCACCCCCTGGCATCAGGTACCTTTTGTCGGAACTGCTGGGAGCTCTCTGGCCCAGGCCCACCCCAGCTTACTTGCTGACCTTGGCCTCGCCTTCTCTGACCTTTAGTTTCCCTATAAAATTGGAAGGGTCTGACTAGGAACTCCCCCATTTCACAGAGACCTCAGACCCCCTGCAGCCCTTGGTGAGCCCAGGGGAATAGAACCCATGTTTCTTCCCAGCAACACTGCCCACTCATCGAGGAAGCAGCCGCGATGCCCACACTTCCTGCTGGAGCCTGCGCAGAGCCAGAGGTCCCTGGGGGGGTGGCACCGTGGGGAGGCAGGGGTAGGTGGTCAGGGGTCCCCAAAGGCAGCTGGCATCTCCATCTGGGACCTGTGTTTTGGCAGCCCTAGGGTGGGTGGCCCCCCTTTTCTTGTTCTTTGGTCCCAGAGGAGGTTCCTGTGGCCTGACCACACTTTTGCCTTCCCTCTGCTCAGGCCTCAGAAGCTGCAGGAACATGGCCTAGGCATGGCTCAGCCAGCAGGTCCCTCCCTGACAAAGCCCTTCCTGGCAGAGGCCCCGACAGCACTGGTCCCACACAGCCCCCTACCTGGGGCCCTGTCCAGTGCCCCTGGCCCAAAGCAGCCCCCGACAGCAAGCACGGGCCTGGAGCTGCTGTCTCCACTTCCTTCTTCCTTCATGCCCCATGGGGCGGCTGCAGCAGCCAAGGTATGTCTTCCACCAGCAGGCCTGGGCACTGGGTTCCCACTCTTTGGTGCTCTTTCTCATACCACAGCTGTACTCGGTTTTTATGGAAGACATTGGCACAGGGAGGCCACTCATCCATTTGACAGGCGTATGTACCCACCATATACCAGGTCCAAGGGTCACAGCAGTGAACAGCCTGTCAAGGGTCCTGCCATCCTGAAGCTTATATTCTAGGCAGAGACAAGCAAAGAAAAACCCCTGCCTGCAGACCAGTAAAGAGGCTGCAGATCACGTAGGGTCCTGCAGGCCACAGTGAGAAGTAGTCTGGGATTGTAGGAAGTCAGGAAAGGGTACTGGCAGTCAGGTTTCTGTGCAGGCTGTGGTCACCATGACCACGTGGTCCAGGGAAGCAATATTGGTGGCCTGTGCTCAGCGGTCACCATAGAGGGGACAGATACTCTCAGAGGCAGACAAGGCAGGACGTGCCCTGAGGGATTTGCTGAGTGAGTGGAAAGAAAGAATGCAGGCTGATTTGGGCTGCTGACTTGAATAACTTGGGGAACAGTGGTTCCTGGAAGGAGGAACTGGGGGGTGGGGACTGGTTTTGGGTGAGGCATCAAGAGTCTGTTTTGAAACCAGGCTCTTGATGTCAAGCTTGAGAGAATGCAAACAGTGAGTCTGACCTGGGGAAGAGGTCAGGGTCGGAGATCAAGAAGAATCCTCAGCACAGCCGCGGCAGTGTCTAGGAGGAGAGTACGGGGGAGGACAGAGGGGTCCATGCTCCAAGCGGGGAGCCTGGGCAGGGACGGCCAGGGAGTGTGAGAGTTCAGTGATGGAGGTGACAGCTGCTGTCAGGCCACCAAAGATGCTGGATCCTGAATGGGGCTGAGGGGACAGGAAGGAGCCAGTTCCTGTGGTGAGTTTGGCCTTGTGAGGCCACTGACCCTGGCTAGAATGGGGTGTGGGTTTGAAAGGGTTTTGACCTCTATCTGGTGATGGAAGGGGCAAGTCTGCTCTCACCAGGAGAGGAGGGCATGGAGGAGGCTGTGGAGCACTGGCCTTCCACTGACCACTGCTCACGTCAAAGGTTATGAGCTCAGAGCAAGGTAGGGCTTGAGGGTTGGGTAAGGCTAGGAACAGCTGCTCAGGCAGCGGAGGCGCGAGGCAGACTGTGACGATAACGGGGTGCTCTTGGGTGCTTGTGAGGCTTTTTCCTATAGTAGCAGGCCCTGTGTGCAGGGGCAGGCTAGACACTGAGCTGGCATGGCCACTGCTTGGAAAGCCCAGCTCCCACAGCTGGGGCCTGGTCTTGTCCACCACTGCAGGGCGGGCAGTGCCCTTTCCTAGCTTCCTCCTAGCTTCCTTGCTAAGCATCCACTCTTCTTTCCTTTGCAGGTGTCAGCACAGCCAGCTACTCCTAGGCATATGCCCCAGGTCCCCCCATTCCTGGCCAGTGTCCCTGACCCCCATCTACTTCTTCCTGGGGACTTCTCAGGCACCAGGGCTGGGCCTGGGCTTTCACCTGCAGGTGTGTACCTGGGACCTGTCAGGGCAGCAAACACTCAGGCCACTCCCGGTCCTGGGACTTGCTGTTTACCCTAGTCTCAGACAAGAAAATGGTCTGAAACCAGCTCACTCCTGTCATCACAGGCTCCCTGGACCTTGAGGCTGAACTTGTGGGGATCCAGCAACAACTACTGCACTACCAGACCACGAAGCAGAACCTCTGGTGAGCCCTGCGAAACGCCTGTGGCCCTGGCACGGGAGCAGGTGTTGCCTGGAAACGTGGGTGGGAGGTTCCATTTCCCCGGCCAGCTGCCAGGGTCCTGTGGGTGGTCTTGGTCTAGCCACAGAGGGGTGTGGGGAGCCCTCTGTGTGTGCTGTCCAGAAGGACCCCGTCTCCACCATGGCCCTCTACCCGGCTTAGTACTGCTTAGGAAGGCCCAGGTCAGCCTCATCTGTGGACAGAGGCCCTCTTCCTAGGGTGGGATGACAAAGTTGAGCAAAACTCTAAAACCCCGATGAGGCCATGCTGTCCCCAACTGTTAACACTGATATTAAAGGTGCAGAGGAGACAGGCCAGCTGCACTCAGTGGTCTGCGGGCCATCAACATGCAGCGGCCTCAGAGTTTCAAGGGCAACAGACTGGTGCCTTCCTCCTTGGCTCCGCACTGGGAAGAGGGACAAGGAGTGTGTTTTCGCCCAGGCCCATCTGAGCTGCTGTCTGCTGGGGAGGGTGGAGGAGGCTAGGAGGGGAAAAAGAACAAGTGTTCGGCCCCCAGGCAGGGGCCTGCAGCTCAGGGGAGGGGCCCTACCAGACCACCTTTCTCTCCACCTGATCCCCACATCAGAATTAGCTGAGGTGCCTCTCCCTGAACCAGAGGGGGCTCCCCTGAGACTGCCAAGAACCCAGCCTGGCACGCAGCGGATATCTTTACCCCTCAGGTCTTGCCAGCGGCAAGCAAGCAGCCTGCGCAGATGGCTGGAGCTGAACAGAGAGGAGCCGGGGCCTGAGGACCAGGAAGCAGAGCAGCAGGTGCAGAAAGATCTGGAAGAGGTGAGGCCCCACGCCACCCCCAGGGACACCCTGGGCTGTGCTCCCTCTCAGCCCTGCCTGTCCCTCCCTGGCCCCAGGTGGAACTGCAGATCCAGCAGCTGGCAGAGGAGCTCCAGGCCCAGCGCCAGCCTATTGGTGCCTGCATTGCTCGAATCCAGGCCCTGCGGCAGGCCCTGGGCTAGCACGTTCACCCCAGGGATGCAGGTGCAGGGCTGTGGGGAGGCCCCAGGCCACCTCCAGCAACAGAGCACAAAGTTATGACTTTTTATTTTTTTATTTCAAAATGTTTTGCAATTAAATGAATTACTGTTCAGAAGTTTCCCACTTTACATACAAAAATACTGTGCTACTGATACAGTTGAAAAAATTCAGTGATGTTTCTCCTGCAGGAGAAGTTCACAGCGTCCTCAGGGTCAGCATAAACTCTTGCTCTGTCCACTGGGACAGGTTTTTCCAGGTACCGACCAACCATCGACCAAGGCTCCTCAGCTTCCAAGACAGACCCTGAATCCGTAGCAGCAACCTTCCCATATTTCACGTAGCGATATGGGAAGGGGGACACAAATTCTTCCCTGTCCCTAGCTGGGCCTACCACCTGCCTGCTCTGTTCACTATGGCGCCATGAGGCAGGTTCAGCGATCGGCCTTGCCTGCTGCAAAGAGGATCTGGCCAGCTCCAGAACGTCACTGATCAGGTCCTGCAAAGGTCTGTTAATCATTAATCAGTGTCCTCTGAAGACACTGGCAGAGTCCAGGGTGATGCATTCAGCCACAAGCACAAAGATTGCTTTTTCTTAAGAGCAGGATGAGGTGAATTTGGGAACAGAAAGCAGTTGTCAAGAAGGCTGTGTGGCTCTGCTGGGGGAGGCAGGGGAAGGGCTTCCACAGTCTGTGCCAAGGAGGCAGCTCACCCTGTGCAGCAGGAGAGTTAAGGCCAAAAAACAAAAGGGGCCAACAGAAAACAGCCCAGGTGATGGGGAGGAGCAGCGAGAAGGGATATTACCTGTCTTTTTTTTTTTTTTTTTGAGATGGAGTTTCGCTTTTGTTACCCAGGCTGGAGTGCAATGGCGCGATCTCGGTTCACCGCAACCTCCGCCTCCTGGGTTCAGGCAATTCTCCTGCCTCAGCCTCCTGAGTAGCTGGGATTACAGGCACGCGCCACCATGCCCAGCTAATTTTTTGTATTTTTAGTAGAGATGGGGTTTCACCATGTTGACCAGGATGGTCTCGATCTCCTGACCCTCGTGATCCACCCGCCTCGGCCTCCCAAAGTGCTGGGATTACAGGCGTGAGCCACCGCGCCCGGCTATTACCAGTCATCTTAAAATGACAAGCCCAACTGAAGGTTCAGTCAGGAATGCAAGGTCTCCCATTTATACAATGTTTAAAAAGCTCCAAATGTGACAGATCATTCCAGCCTGCACTTTTTATTTGTAGGGAAGGGATGGGATACTTTTGAGGGCATGACAGGGCTCTCACCCCCTTTTCTATACCTCTGGAACAAGTGGGAGCTGAATCATTCAAGTCCTACCTGGTCAGGCTCCCACCCACCCCAAGGCAGGCCCTCACCTGGATGGCCTCATGGGCCTTCCCCTCTGAAAGACCCTCACTCTGTTTGGAAAAGATCCCTTAGCAGCCGTAACAAGGAAACAGGCTCTAGAGGGAACCCAGGGCCTCCCCAAAGCGGATTTTCTGTCCTGTTTTCAGCTGAAAATTGAAGTCCTTAGGGGCCTCGAAGATCAGCACGATGGTGGAGCCCAGGTTGAACTCACCCAGGTGCTCGCCCTTGCGCATGGGGACGCCCTCTCTGTTGGTGTGTGTCACAAAGCTGAAGTCATTGTAGGAGCCTTTGCTGTGCCTCGGGCTGTTTGTGTGCAGGTCCTGCGGGTGACAGGCTGGGGGTCAGCGGGACCCGGGCTGTGAGGTGCAGTGTTACCCCACGTTTGGAGTCCCTCTGTTGCTTGTCCCCACCACCACCCAACCCAACTCCAAAAGGGAGGTGAGGATGGCATCTTAGGGCCAAGGTGGGCCTGGTCTAGCCAGATCTCACACACAGCTTTGACACCTGCTATGATCTGTCCAGAAAGGACAGGACCCAGTTGGACCCAGTGGTCTCCATGCATGGTGCTAAGAAAGTGGCTCCTGTGGGAGCCAAGGCCATTGGTCACAAACTGACACCCAAAAAGGCTGCCCCCATGGGCATGGTGGGCAGCAGACCTGTGAGTGCTGACCACCTCACATGCTGTAACCAACATAAGCCACCCAGATCTCAACACTCCCTTTTGGTTCCCTCCATGCTCTCATCTTTAACCATGGTTCCTAGCAGAAGCTAGGTGCCAGGCAGGGAGGTAATTCCCTCATCTCTCCCAGCCACCTCCAGCCAGCAGTGCAAAGGAGGAGGGAGGCCTCAGCCACCAACAGGTGGAGCAACCCATTCTCAGACAGCTGCTCAGCAGAGCCAGGCCTGACCAGAGATGTGGCCCCCCTTAGAATTCAGTCCCAAAACATCTAGCTGCACAGCAGACAAGGCAGGTAGACTCAAGAGGTCCAGCCCTTGGGCTTTTGCAGGGCCTGGATTCTGCTTACCCGGTCAAAGTAAATACGAATGGAGCCCACGTTGGTGGCCCCAACAGCCGTCAGTGAGAAGAAGCCATGTTTCCAGTCCCCCGTCAGGACCACCCGCTCATTATGGCAGAAGAGCTCTTTGATCCAGCGAGCCATGCCAGGGTTCACTGACATCAGGGAACCTGCAGAGGCAGGGAATGCTGCTATTCCCTGTCCAGAGCCTGTGTGTCCACTCCAGGGCAGCCAAGACCCAGAGGGACTCATGGCCTATTGCCCCAATGCCATTCCACATGCTGAGCAGGCTGGAGCCCACGGTCCCCTGCCCACAACCAGCCTGCATAAAGCAGTCAGCTCCTGGCCTTGATGACCCTGATATGGAGCCTGGTCCCCTGACACCAAGAAGCTGAGAGCCTCTGTGTGAACCCACGGAGGCAGCCCGCCCCCCAACGCCCATGCTGGCCCTGGGCTGACCTGGGAAGTGGCGCCGGTGGGACACAGTCCAGTCGGTGGGAGAGTGGAAGCAGTGGTAGTCTCCAGGAGCCAGGTAAATGACACAGTGATAGAGCTCATTCCCTTCTCGGGTGACCAGCTGGTTCTTAAAGGAGTCACACGAGGTGGCTGTGGAATGAGAATAAACATGGGGGCCACCAACACAGTGAGCACCCAGCACAGACTCTGAGTGTGGTCTGCACATGGATCTCAGAGAGGCCCCACATGTGCCAGCCTTGGATCCTTCCCCAGCATCCCCTCCCTCCCGATCCACACAGAGCAGCAGGGCTGCCTGGCTCTGCCTGTGCAGTGACCCACCTGGTGAGAAGGGCAGGTCCTCTGTGCAGGTACGTGGGCCCAGGAACGACTCCAGGGAGTAGGTGACTCCCTTTACCTGCTCTACCTCGCAGTTCTTCACCTGCCCAAAGTTGAGGATCCTTCCATCCGATGGGCTGATCTGGAAGGGGAGGAGGGGCTTGGTGTGAGGGCGAGCAGGAGACAGCCTCCACTTCACCTTGTCATCCTGCCCCTTCCAGATATGCTGGAGATGGGGGCACTATGCTGGGCAGGGGGCGGCCCCAGCTGTGGAGTCAGGAAAAAATCCCATTTCTTGCAGGAGGAAAGGGTCGGGCCTTACCACACTGTGCAGGCCACAGACAGGCCGGGCCTGTGGCTTCAGCTTGCGCCGGAAGAACTCGCTGAGGTTGCGGTAGTGATGCAGGTCCTCCACAGCCGCCTCTTTCATGTTCACCCCGAAGGTCCAGATGTACAGGCTGTAGACAGGCCTACGCAGCCAGTGGGGCAGCTCCACCTGGTTGAGGCGACCCCAGGCCCGTGACAGCAAGCGCGTCGGCACTGACTTGTACAAAGCCACCTGCAGGCCACAGGGCATGGGGCTGAGGTGACCACACTGCCCCAGCTCCAAAGAGCTCAAGCGCTGTCATTAGCCCACCTCCCACTTCAGTAGAGAATCTGCACCCCACAAAGGCCACCAGGGCCCAGATGCCCCACGCTGCATTTGTGATGTGGCTGTTTATCACTGGGAACCAAACTGCACCTGCCAACTCCTGCCACACAGTGCTGGGTTTACATACAACTCGAGTGGTTTTCATCATTTGATGCAAAAGTGAAATAGCAACTGCCCCAGGTCCAGAGCGAGAGACGGCCAGCAGTCTTACTTTTTAAAGTAGGGGTTGGAAATGGATTTGACCCTAACTACGGTGTGTGACCCTAGCCACAGTGACCCCAGTATCACAGTGTGTGGGGAGGTGATGGGCATCTTGCCAGTCACTGCCCATATCCCAGGCCACTAGAGAAAGGAGGCGGCTCCCAGGTGCGTGGAACAAGTCTACAGCCCAAAGTATGTCCCTCTTGTCTTAACGGGAAGTGAGGACACCCTGAGTACCAACATCAGGGATTTTCAGACATAGACCTGCATTGTCACCGTCACCTGCACCTGAGCTGCAGACACAGGGTCCGCAACCCCTGAAGGTTCAGCCAGCCCTCCGAGGGCCTGGATGAAGCCAGTCGGAGAAGCCTAGCCCTGCTGAGCCCCACCTTGGACCCACAGCTGGCCTTATGTTCAGTGTTCTGCTGTGACTTGAGTCAGGACATAAAGCTGTCTGCATCTGGGGTTCCTCCCAGGAGGCAAAGGGAAGTCATTCCCTCTGTTCTCTCTTCCTCCAGGGAAGCCTGGAGCAGCTGAAGACAGATGATGGCCTGGGGATAGGCAATGGGTCCCACTAGTTGGTCGCAGAGCCCTCTAGCAGGGCCAGGTACCCAGGAAGTGGCAGCCTCTCAAACTTCAGGTGCTGCTGCCACTGTAGAAACTGCCTCTGCCGGGCACGGTGGCTCAAGCCTGTAATCCCAGCACTTTGGGAGGCCGAGGCGGGTGGATCACGAGGTTGAAAGATCGAGACCATCCTGGTCAACATGGTGAAACCCCGTCTCTACTAGAAATACAATAAAACTAGCTGGGCATGGTGGCGCGTGCCTGTAATCCCAGCTACTTAGGAGGCTGAGGCAGGAGAATTGCCTGAGACCAGGAGGCGGAGGTTGCGGTGAGCCAAGATCGTGCCATTGCACTCCAGCCTGGGTAACAAGAGCAAAACTCCGTCTCAGAAAAAAAAAAAAAAAAAAAAACTGCCTCTAATGGGCAGCTGCTGCTTCTCTAAACACAACCAAGACACCAACTCCCCAAGGTGTAAAAGTGATTTTATTCTACCTTTGAACACCTCTCCAAGGTAAGGAATTAGCAGCTCTCTATCTTACCCCTCTCAGCTGATGCCCAGTCATGCAGAAGGGCTGTGTGACCCCTGGCCCTTCCCAGGCACAGGCTGGAGCCTGAGCTAATATCCAGGATGCTTCAATGCCTCTGAGCTCTGGTGACGCCCACCTGAATGTCAAAGGCCCAGGAACAGGGTTTCCTCCTTGGGGCCAACCAGCCTGGGAAGCCAAGGGCAAGAGCAAGCTCTCTAGGGAGCAGGCGGGGCCAGGCCAGTTCCCTTGCACAATCCTGGGACAGGCTTCTGGGTTCCGTTCATCCTAAGGGACCCAAACAGGCTCCATCTTTCCTGAACCACCCCTCCGGCATCCCAGAATTAATTTGGCTTCTGCTCAAAATCACCTCTTAAGCTTTTTTCTGCCTGAACACAGAAAAGTCATAGACACCATTTTCTGAATCCCCAGACTGGGTTCCTTCCAGAACCAGCGCCCCAAATGGTAGACACGAAGCAGGCTATGGGAGTGGACACGGCACGGCACACCCTGGAAGTCACTCTCACAGCCCAGGTAGTGGCTTTCTCAAAAGCTGCCCTGCCCTTGCCCACCAATGAACCTTGCAACCCTGACCCACTGAAGATGTACCTATGACTTATGTTTCTGACAGCTCATCTCCTCCTTGGTCTCTCCAGCACCTCAACCTCAGGCCTGCCCGGGGGGAGGTCTGAGCCACAGGGGGCTGGGCACACTTACCCTGCTCACAGGCCTCCATCCCACCCGGCTGAGCGGTCTGAGGGCGCCGAAAGGCAGGAGGTAGTAGAGGACGGTCAAGGGCCAGGAGCGCAGTTTCAGAGCGGGTCTGGACATGCAGCTCAGCTGCCCCAGCCTCCGCCTCAGGGCCAGCTGGGGGAAGTGCAACCTGCAGGGCACAGGTCCACACACAGCCAGGTCAGTGGCCAGCCTCTGGGCCGGAAACCCCTCCTGTCTACCCACCCTCAGCAAGCTGCCTCGCTGTTGGGTGATGGGCCCCAGCAAGCACTGGCTATCCCACCTTGTCCCAATCCCGTTCTGAGTCGGGCTGGGCTGCCTCTGGCTGGCAGACTCACTTCCCAGATTCTCCCACCCGCCAGCAAGCTGGGGAGGCGGGGAACGTGGGGGTAGCCGCAACAGAGGAGAGTCAGGCCCAGCTGTGGGGAACCTCAGCCGCAGCAGCTCCCAGCGAGGGCCTCCACGGCCCAGGAGAGTGGGCCCCAGGGGTCAGCTCTACTGCATGGGCACTGGCACTCGCACTGGCACAGCAGTGCGTAGCGCTGAGGAGCTGTTACCCAGCCAGCTGGGTAACCATCTGCTGAGTCTTCTGCTACCATCCTTTGCGGGATCTGGGATATTCTTTTCATGGTTCCAGGCCCCTCATCTGCTAAATTAAGGGACAAAGACCCGACAAGATCTCGAAGGGAGTATTTACACCCCCACACACCCCACCGCACAGCTACGGCTCCATCCATTTGCATGGTCTTTCTGTAACAGCCCAGGTTCTCCAAATCCCATCCACAGGTGTGTGAGCAAAACCTCCCCACAAGCTCTCAAGCCACCTGCCTGCTCTGCTGGGGCCACACAGACACACACACACGACCCAAGCCCCTCCTTTCAGCAAAGGTAGACACACACACACACACAAAATCCCCCTCCTTTCAGCAAAGGTGAACACACGACTCCCCTCCTTTCTGCAAAAGTGGACACACACACACACACACACCCCAAGCCCCTCCTTTCTGCAAAAGTGGGGAGACACACACACACACACACGACAGGCAAAGGTGGGCAGGCCTGTCCCCACCAACCCAGCATAAATGCAGGGCAGTCGGCAGGGGCTCAGCTTCACCAGAGCCACAGAGGTTGGACAGGCCTTTCCATTAGAACCCTGGCCTCCTGAGCCAAAACAAGACCCACCCCACCCTACCGATGCCTAGTGCCAGCAAATGCTCCTGAGGCCCAGGGTAGCTGCAGGACACCACACTGCCGTCCACTCAGAATGTCCCCAGGCCTGCTTCCTCATCTGCAAAGTGACTGCATTTGGCTGATCTACTGCTGCCATCTGGGACTGTCTCTCAAGAGGAGCTGACTCCTCTCTCGCAGTTGCTGAGCAAACCAAGGAACAAAGCGGCATCTCAGCTGACAGCAGCAGCAGAGCAGACGGGAGAGGCAAGCCGGCGGTGAGGCCCTGCTTAGTTCGGAGGCGGCTGCATCCACAACTCCCACAGCTCCCGGGTGCTTGCTTTCCCTCCCATCCCACCCAGTGTGTTTAAAAGGTTCAGGAAGGCGGCAGGGGCCAAGCAAAGACAAATCACTGCTCCCCTCTGGCTTCCCACCTGCCCTGCTCACTGCAGAAGAGCAGGGACCAATCCGAGAAGAGCTGCACCCCTCCTCCCGGCAGGAAGGGGGATGGGGAAGCCTCTCTCTGGGGGTAGGGCGGGGGCGGGGGCAGGGGCACAGAGGCAAGGGTCTAGGGTGGGAGGAGGGGGCCTGGGAACACCAGGGTAGGGAAGACCGCAGGCATGAGGTCTGAGGCCCACTGGCTGCCTCCCCCTGCTGGGCCCTCCTCCTGGTTGGAACCAAAGGTACCTGAAGCGGGCTCTCCGACTCAGGGCGCTCAGGCCCCCCAGGCCGGGCCCCTCCAGCCTCGGGGGCTGACCACCAGTCCCCTTGCCGCCACCTCCACTGCGAGGCCGCTGGATGTGAACTCTAACCTTCCGGAGGTCATGGCGGGGAGCCGTGGGGTTAGGGCGCGGTGGGCAGCATCTCACCATTTCGCCGCGCGGAGCTCTGGTCCTCGCCGCGCCTCTGACTGACACATCATGGACCGGCGCAGGGAGGGCGGGGCGAGGCTCACTCGCTCACTCCCTTTGTTTTCCTCTTTCCTCCCCTTCCCTGGAGCCAGAGGATCTCCTGTGCTGTCACTGCTCCAGGGCCTCTGCCTCCACGAGGCCGGTTGGTGGCGCCGCTTCCTGGGATTGGTTCAGTCTTGGTGGCTCACAGGGTGCAGGTTAGAGGGTCAGGGCTATTGCAGACAGACAGGTACCGGTCACACACCTACTCGGGTCACCTGCTCAGGGCTTGCAGCCCAGTGCAAAAGCCCCTGCACTCAAGCCCACTGTCCCCAGGCCTGGCAACCTGCATTGTCCCTGCTGCCTGGGGCTGAGCCAGCCTGCACTGGTCATCCTCTTCCTCAGCGAGCCGGGGGAGCAGCAGTAGGGCAAGGCCCTCGGGCTGCCTGATCCAGTGAGCCATGACAGGGAAGGGACCAGCCACTGCTGCCAAGGCTTCCAGGCACCTCTCAGCTCCAAACACACAAGGTGGGAACCTGAGCCCTGTGTTCCAGGCCCAGGCCCTGCGCCATGTACACCTGTCTGTGGTTTGGCCCCTCCCTCGCCAAAATCTGACCCATTTTCGATTCAGGTTACAAAGTAGCATCTGAGGAATAAGATGAGAGCGGAAGCCAGGACAGGTGCCCTGGTGAGAACCTGGCCTTTTACCTGCTCCAGGTCTCTCCTCACCCCTCTGGCCTTGACCCCTCCACCAATACACACACAAAATACCTGGCTCCTAACTCCAGGCCTCCTCAGAAGCTGGGCCTGGCAGGACTGCAGCCCAAACTAGTTCCACCCCTCTTTTTCTATCTTTGCTTCAGAAAACACTTAGGCCAGGCCCTGCCTGGCTATCTGGGAGGACACGCCCGGCCCCTACAAAGCCTGTCCACACTGGCCTACACAGATACTGGCTGCTATCTCAGCCCAGGCAATCCAGGCCCTCCAGGATATGGGCTGACAGGGGCCTGGCCTTCAACCCCGACCACTACTGCTCAAGAAGAGGGCAGGCACTTGTCACCATCCTTAGATGACGAAATGTGGCTCCAACAGCTGCTGCCTAAAGCAAGGAATGGGCCAGACACAACCAGTAAATGTGGCCCCGCACAGTCAAACGTCTGATGCCCTGGCAAACCCTCCTTGGCCACAGAAGTGAAGGTACCACCTGGGCACCTGCCTGCGAGTCACCTAATCCCTGTATGGGATTCAGTGGCCTCTCGGAACAGGACAGTAAGGTGACTAAGATCTGGACACAAGCGTGGATTTCTCCCCCTGATCCAGGCAGTGTTGGGCAGGTTCAGGCCCCTCTCCTAAATGACTGTCGGGGACAGCTAACAGCAGGTGGGCCAGGCAGGAGGGCACCCACCCACCAGGCCTCACCCAGCAAACAGATACACACCAGCATCCTACCCCGGGAACATGCCGGCACCAAGAGATCGGCACCAGCACAAGAGGCCCATCCTGTCACCAGGCCCAGGCCCACGGCTTCACAGACACCCCTGCTCCAGCCCTCCAGGGCCATGTCACTTCAATCGCTCCACACATGTACGGAGCACATGCCCCACCCTCCCTGATCCACGAGGCTCCATGCTGGCCTCTTGCCAGCTGCCAGGGAAGCAGAGGGGTGACAGCAGTCAAGGGTGAGCCTGGTGCCTGGTTCCAAAGGGGAGGCTCTTTCACTGGTTGATCAAGTGCAGGCTTGGAGCTGAGCTCACAGCCAGGACCCACAGGGAGGCAAGCGTGACCTTGAGGGGAGATGGAGAGGAGGGGCTTTGAGGACCCCAGCCTTCTGCCAGTTTTCCTCACTTACCTACCCTGTGGGACAGTGACCAACACAGCCCTGAATGTGTCAGAAAGACATGAACCCACATAAACCCAGCTCAGCCAAAAACCTTGAGTTCTCAAAGCAGGCTCCCCTGTGAACCTTGAAGTTTCATTCTCCCATGGTTCTCTGAGGGGCAGGGTCTGGCCTCCAGTCTCAGAGAGGGCACTACTGAAGAATTAAAGCACACGAGGCCAGGGGCACGTCAGATGCCCATGAGGGAAAGGTGGGCCCTGGCTCAGAAGCTAGAGGAGGAGCTGCTGCCCTGGCCCTGGAGAGACTCTAAGAACCATCCTGAGAGGCCACACGGGCACCCCACCTGCAGGTACGCCCAGTGAGAGGCAGGGAGTCCTTGCCCTTTCAGATCCTTGCTTTATCACTATTCTACCTTTTCGAAAACAGGCACCGAAACCAGGGTGTCAGTGCCTCCAAATCACCACCTGATGGCCCCAAAAGATCACCATGGAGTAGAATGAATCCCACTTTGCCCCAGAACACAGGCTGGGCACTGTCTGACCCACTAAGAGCTGCAGGATGGAGGGAAGGGGCCCCTAGAGGTCGCTGCCTTCTCACTTTCCAAGGGTAAAGCCGCTCCGTTGGCCAGCAGTTTCTGGCCTCCTCATTTCAGAGCCCAGCTTGCCCTCTGCCTATTGCAACCCTGGGACCTCAAGCCAGAGATTTTATCCTCTCTGGCTGTCAGAGGGTGACATGGAGTGGGAGCCCCAGGTCCTAGATGAGGAACTTGCAAGAAGGGTACCCAGAATTGAAGAAACGCTGACACTTTCCCTCCCATGCCTCAAAGACACTCTGTGGAGATGAGCTTAAGGTTGTGACCAGTAGGACTTTAATGTCATTACATGGCCCCAGGGCCAGTCACCTGCAACAGAACTCAGAGGGCTTTGTGGCTGGCGACAACCTGGTCACTGCAATCCTGGCTGCCTTCCTCCACCTCCACCCTGAGAGCAGGGAAGGGCCTTGGCAAGTCACAGGTACTCTAAGTCTTGGTTTGCACATCTGGAAAATGGGAAAGGAAATTCCTCCTGCCCAGCCCCTTGTGGCTCAGAGCACAGCTGCAACCATGGCCCAGAACAATTGCTCAGAAACGCCTCTTTTACCCAGGAGCGTGACGCTGCCTCACCTCACCCTGTAGACCTGGCTTCAACACCTCACCTCTCTTTCCAAAAAGTCAACCCCACACTCTGGTGGGGGCAGGGCTTTCCACCACAGGGAAGATGGAAATAAAAGGGACTTAGGTGGCAGTTCTAAAACAGGAACCCAAACCTTCGGGGCGGTGACTGGCCTTGCAAGTAAGAAGCAATGGCTGATAGGACCATATGGGGGACTGGGGAGCACCTCTGCCAGGACGTGCTGTTCTGGGGATCCATACCAGAGCAAGAAGACAGTGTCCCCACCCATCCCTCACCAACCAGGGTGAAGTACTGTGGTACCCTCCCTCAGTGGAATGGAAGTCGATGAATAGCCCCAGGCCAAGCAGCAGTTACTACAGGTGTGGGTTGGGGCGTGCAAGCATGTATGCATACGGGGGTGGGGGTGTGAGTGTAGGTGCAAGGGTGTGAGCAAGCTGGATATGTGTGTAGGTGAAAGGGTGTGTTCGTATAGGTGTGCACTATAGGTGTGAAGGCATGTGCATGTAAGGGTGTGGGGGTGCGTGCAGGGGTGTGTAGGTGTTAAGTGTGTAAGTGCAAGGTGTACGGGGTGTTGGGGGTGTGTGTGTAGGGGTGTAAGTGCAAAGGTGTGTTAGGCATATAGGCGGTGTGTGTGTAGGTGCGAGAGTGTGCATATAGGTGGTATGTGTATAGGTACAGGTGTGTGTAGGTGCAGGGGTGTGTAGCTTCAGGGTGTGTGTAGGTGGGGGTCCGTGCACTCCCCCGGGGGGCGATGGGCTTTCTCCCCAGCTCAGTTGAGGCCTGGCCACCCGGCAGCAGCTTTCGTCCAGTGGGGCGACAACCCTGTCTTCCCTGTGTTCCAGGGCTAGAAACAGGCAAACTTCGCAAGCAGGGGCCCCGGGAAAATGGTCCTCCCTGGGCCACACGGACCAGGGAGCAAAGAGAAGGGCCCAGAGGCGCCTTTCAGACACAGTCAGAGGCAGACAGCCCCGGGAAGAGGGCAGGCAGGACTCTCAGGGGTCTGTCCCAGCTGCCCAAAGACAAGGAACCTCCTCTCAGACAACTCTGGGTGCTGTGGGGGAACCGGCTCTGGGCAGAGGCAGCGAGTCTGCCACCTGCTCCCCGGCCCTCAGGCGCTGACCTGGCGCTACCCTCTTCCCAGGCGCCTTGACCCCAGGCTCGGCAGCACGGAGGAGACTGGAGCTCTCAGGGCCGGAGGCGCTCCAGCCCGGGCCCCCTCAACGCCAGCCGGCACCCCCTCACTTCCCGCAACTGCCTCACTTCCTGTAAGCCCCTCACTTCCCGCACCCGCGCCAGGCAGATGGACGTGGAGGAAGTGATCTCACGCAGCCCGGGCCGTGCCCACGTGCGGAGGGAAAAGCCCACGACTCGCTCAAGCCTGTCCAAAGGGCTCCTCATGGCCAGGGCCGCATCGTCGCAGCTAGGAGGACCAACCGACGACCGAACGCGCTAGAAGGGCACCCCCACCCGGGACTGGCCCTCTGAGCGGGTGGGGCGGGGCGGGGCGCCTCCCCGAGAAGTCACCTGTGGCTCCTGGTCAGGCAGGGGCACCGGCTCCACTCACTCACCCTCTGGTGGCTCCAGCTTCCGGGCTCCAACTCCCCAGAGGCGCTCCCAGAGCCGGGAAGCCCTGCGGCGCGTGGGCGGGGACCAGGCTCCAGCCACTCAGACTACTAGGGGCGGGGGCAGGAGGCCGACCCCAGCCACCCTTAAAGCCGCAGCTCCCTGAGCCCCAGTCCTGCAGCTCCGTCAGCCCAACCTCAGTACCCCTTTAAGAGGAGGGGCCAAGGTCGGGGAGAAGGGGAAGGGCAGTGGGCACCAGCTCTGCCTGGTCACGGTCACGGTAGGACCCCGCTCAGGCATCGAGGTGGGCCTGGCTGCTCCCAAGGGATGCCTCCTGCCTGTCCTCGGTCTCCGTCCACTGGTCTGTGAGCCTCCTGTCCCCAGCCCGTGGCTGGCCTCCCAGAGCAGCTGCCTTCTCTCACCACCCCCCACCCAACACTAGGCGGACGCAGGACCCCACGTGCTGCTGACTTCACTGAGGACCAGCTTCTTCACTGGACTGAACAGAAAGCTAAAGCTACCCCTGCTAGCCCTGGAAGCCTCGGAGAAGGCAAAATTCTTGATCTTTCCCACGCCCCATCCTGAAGCTACAAGGCTGCTCCACCCCCACCTTCTTGCTTTCCAGGCACGCACACCCCTGACATACAGACTGCCCTGACTC